GAGCCCGCTGCTCACTTTATCCGTGTGGCTTCTGGCTGTGAGCCTCACAGCGGAGGCGACCTACTACCGGCACCACCGCTACGTCCCCCACTTCTACCGCTACCGGGATCACTCTGCCAACACGGAAAACCTCCTCCCCGAGGTCGCCAACCCAGAGCCCGTAGTCCCGCAGCCCGGCATGCCGACTTACCCCGAGATCCCCGAGGTGTTCCACCCGGAACCCGAAGTCATCCACCCCATACCAGAGGCGTTCCACCCGGTGCCCGAAGTCGTGCATCACGCCCCCGAGCCTTACCAGCTACCTGAAGTTTTCCAGCCGGTGCTCGACGCCTCCTCCCCTGTCAACGCGAGCCGGGTGTTCTATGGGATCATGTTCGACGCTGGGAGCACAGGCAGCAGGATCCACATCTATAAGTTCATCCAGAAAGACCCTGGTAATTGCTCCACTTTTCCTTAACTCTCTTGCACATGCTTGTTGGCTTCCACTCTGTCTGCCTGCTGTTAGGTCATTCACTGTGTGGCGTCAGGATAAACATGCACCGGCAGAGTGCACGGGCAAAACTGTTTCTAAAAGTAGCTGTGTTGGGAAGCAGACCTCTGAAACTGATGTAGGTGACCAGCTACAGACTAAATATCATGAGTTGTAAAAGAAAAGCAATGCAATCGTCTACTTGGGTTTACATTTGATCCTGCTCTCTGGTTTATGATCTTGTTCACTGACACCGACTTCTTTTTTAGTTGAACTGCCAGTCCTGGACAATGAAATGTACCACGCAGTGAAGCCTGGTCTGTCTGCTTATAAGGACAAACCCAAGGAGGTATGTATGCATCTTTACACCATCACTTATTATTAATTATCAGGTATATTAGGGAGTTGTTCACTGTCTGCAAACCACTGGGATTGTCTTTGGGTTGGGTTCATGTGATGTAAACACTGTGTAATTACAAAAATGCCTCCTGCGGATGCTGTCACTGCTGCCCACTCCTGTCTGCTGTACCTTTGATTTATGCATGTTTTTAAAGACTTTGACCACTCAAGAAATGTCTTAGTTTGATTATGAAATGTCTCTCCATTTAAAGATGATGCTGCCTGTAACTGATTGCCATCTCTTCCGCAGGGTGGCAACACCATCCGACAGTTGCTGAAGGTTGCCAAGAAGACGGTGCCAGAGGAGGACTGGAAGAGGACCCCAGTGGTCCTGAAGGCCACAGCGGGTCTGCGTCTGTTGCCTGAAGAGAGGGCCAACGCTCTTCTGAAGGAGGTGAGGCACGTTTTCTCTCTGCCCTCAGACAGTCTGGCACAAACATCACCCGTCCCGCCAAGAGAGGGATGAGAAACCACTAAGTGCTTACAAGTGTCTTAGAAAAAAAAAGAGGCAGCAAGTCTGCCCATTTGGTGGCTATCATGTCGCAAAAAACAGCTGTTGTGGGGTTGTGTGGAGTAACCATATTTGTCATTTAAAGTATTAAATCCAGGCTACTGTTCCAGCCATGCTTGTGGTTGAGTTATCTGTCACTCTAAAACAGAACCAGAGCCTGAATAGACTATATCCTGACAACAGCAGGACATTTTGGGGTGTAGCCAGGTATGATTGTATTATTTTGACACATATCCAGGAGATAATTGTAATGAAATTGTGATTCCATAGGTGCGAGAGGTATTTGACGAGTCCCCTTTCTTCGTGCCAAACAACAGTGTTTCCATCATGAATGGAGCAAAAGAAGGTAGGTTATCTTACTATATACTGTATATAGTACACAAAACACAAGATTTGTATTTGTTTTGTTTTTGACAGATTTATTGTGTAACCAGGTGCTTTAACTGCCTCATTCACCGAGAATGCGTCAAACAATGCTGCTCTCGTAATTCTTTTTACAAGAGGTCCGTTACTACCTCGCTTAGACAAATACGTAAGCCAGTGTGAGTTGTTGCCCCACGCCCAATAATTTCGTGCCATCCTCCACATCAGTTATTAACCTCACTATGTTATGTTTCATCATACGGTATGTGCCATTCATTATCCTCCCTTTATGAGCGCAATAACTTGACATCTGAGACAATTGTAACTACCTGGGCTGGTCTGCAACAGTGCATGTGAGTTGCACAAACTCTGCTACTTTAATATCAGCACAATAAAAGGAGAACTGAACTAAAAGTCATCTTCACTTCTAAGTTTGTTCGTTGTGCTTGAACACATTCGAAATGTGGAAATGTAGCACTTCTCAGGTATTTACTAATGCAGACATTTTCACCCTTGTGCTGTTTTAGGAGTCCTTGCCTGGGTCACAGTGAACTTCCTTACAGGTAGGACATTGCTTGTGTTTTGCTATGGTGGTGTTAGTGGTCAGGAGGCTCATATCTGAGGCTCCAGTGTACACAGAAGCCCGGCAGTGAAAGACTCCTGTCTGAGGTTATGAGCTTGAGTCACTGGCCCCCAAACAGGTTGCAAAAACAAGCAATAGTTCCTCACGTTTTTTTAACACAGCTATACACATTTATTTTAATCAACCTTGAGCCCTGAACCAAAAAAAGGTATTTTCCTTCTTGGTGGGGAAAGACATGATGTGTAAGCATGCGTCAGTCTGACAGTAGTGTTTGTAAAAGGCAGAAATTCCAACTGAAACTGGTGATAAAGCCACAAGATTACAACGTGTGCTCTGTTTGTTGCACTGATGATGAGTGGCACCTTATCCTGTTTAACTCCAAGCTTATTTTAAATAGGTCACTTGTACTCCAACACAAGGAGGACGGTGGGCATCCTGGATTTGGGTGGAGGATCTACACAGATCACTTTCCTTCCCAAGTCAAAGGTGAATGTCATATTGTATGTGGTAAATAAGCCTGTTGGAAAATTGTACCACCAAAAATACGCCGCTAAACAATTGTTGTTTATCCAACAGAAAACGGTTCAGTCGGCTCCTCCCACTTACATTGCTCAATTCAACCTCTTCAAAAACACGTATCAAGTCTACACGCACAGGTAAATAGCAGACACAGAAGATGCTATGGATTACATTTTGCCCATGAAAACTCACATATCAGTGTTTTTGTAGAGTAAAATATACATATCTATCTAAGATACTTACCACAAGTGTCTGTCATCATCATGTAGCTACCTTGGAAATGGACTGTATGCGGCTCGACTGGCAACTCTTGGAGCACTCGGAGCTGGAGGTAGAGTATCTAGTTCCTGTCATCGCTTCTTTATTTGCACTCTGTGTCGTTCTTTCATAATGTATTCATTGGAAGATAACAAACTGTTTCCTGTTTTTGTTTTCCCAGGGCTGGATTGGAAAGTCTTCACTAGTTCATGCCTCCCGAAAAAGTTCAGAGAAGATGTGACTTTTGGAGGAACCACCTACAAAGTTAGCGGGATTACAGATGGTAAGATAAAAGCACCCTGAGGTTTTGATTTGCCTTCCAAGTGCTGTTGGATGCAGCGATCCGTGCATTCCTTTCTCAACTCTGGAACGGAATAGAGTACAGTATAATACAGTCCCTCATGAGAACATTTCTCCGCTGAAGTTTCTGTAACCTTGGCGCCAAACGCATGTTTTGTCATCCTTTCTCTCTCTCTGTCTTCCCTCTTGAACAATTATACTGCAGTCAACCTTGTATTTAAAGGAAAAGAAAACTGTCAGTTAACTTCACAAATAAGGCAGTCACTCCCATACCACAGTGAAGTAGCCAAAAGATGCTGGGCTTGTCCCTGAGTTGTTGTTTTTTTTTTGTGTAACGAGCGGCTTGATCTTGACCGCTCACAATTATGTGGTAAAAATAGACAGCCCAACAGGGCCGCACTAAATGCCGCTCTTGTCAGCACATGGTTTTGCCGGGACAAATGAGCCAACCATATCCATGGGGCTGTGTGAAACTTGTCCTTCTGGGGCTTCCCTTGTATATTGTCTGGTGAGCCCCCAGCTTCAACCCCTGGCTAACCTCAAACTGAGGCTTTAGACAGTTGCATTCCAACCATCGCTGCTTCCAAGCACCTTTAACTCATTGTTTACTCCACCATTTCCAATGTTAGTTAAGTCATTCTTTGACAAAACTACATTTTCCTTTTCTCTCTTGTTTCAGGCTATGCAGGATACAAGCTGTGCTACTATGAGGTTATGAAGGTAATCAAAGGAGTAGTGCACCAGCCTTATGAAGTGAAGGGCAGCAGTGTCTTCTATGCCTTCTCCTACTACTTTGACCGAGCGGTGGAGTCCGGCCTCATTGGTGAGTGGGCACAGACCAAAGAGTCACCTTCCAGCGCCATTATCTTTCATTCTTGTTGTCATCCTTTGCACAAAATAGGTATTCAAGTTTCATGTTTGTTTTTCCTGCACAGATGGCAGTCGAGGTGGTGCGATTGAAGTCAGGGATTTTAAGAAGAGAGCCAAGGAAGGTGAGAGTTACATGTTACCTCGTTGCATACACTTGTGTGTAAAACACACAATCTTAGAAGCTATACATATCAGTACTTTAACCACTGAAACTTCATGCAATAGTCAATAAAATGTAACAGATACAATTATTTATGGAGATAGATTATAAGACAAAAATAGAATAATTCTAGGTTAACATCGCTGCAAAACGTTTATGTATATTTAACCAATACACACCATGCTTATCAGCTCAAGAGTGTGACACTTGCAATACCCATGTAGAACCAGATTTATAACAAGTAGGAAGGAGATGGTGTGTTATGTAAGGCTGTTTGTGTTGCGAGAACACTGTCACATGGTCTCGAGGAACACGTCTGGCTCAGGCTGGGCTGGCAGCTGAGCTGAAGATGTCTGTCTGGCCCAGGCAGGAGGGCACCTGACAGCCACACACCACCTGGGGGCTGACACATACTGCAACACACAAACTGTGTACTAGGCTGTTTAACACTGCCACCCACCCGCAGCCTTGTGCTGACCCTCGGCTGTTCTCCTCGCACCTCCCTGTTTATTCAGCCAAACAAAACAGAAAGATCATCTTTTAATCATGTAGCACAGGGGTTAGAAAAGGTGGTTTTTTTTTGTTAATACATGGAACGTGGCTCCATTGTATGATGCAACAAGGTGTCTCCGTCAAATGCTTCTTTTTTGTGTGTTAGTGGTCTGTGAAACCTGTATTATTGTCATGTCTGAAACCTGTGGTTATTTGTGTTTGCAGTGTGCAACAAAATGACCAAGTACCGTGCTATCAGCCCCTTCCTCTGCATGGATATGACATATATCACTTGTCTGCTAAAGGAGGGCTTTGGCTTCAAGGACAACACTGTGCTTCAGGTGAGAAGAGATATGACAACACTTTAATATTCTGTCTGTACAGTATTTCACTCAAACATGGGCAATATCAATGTGACAGTAGGAGTAGGGAATGGTTTGTTTCTTTGTGGTTTTAATGCCCCCCCCCCCCTTCCGTCACTCTGCTCAACAGCTAGCCAAGAAGGTGAACAACGTGGAGACCAGCTGGGCCCTGGGGGCAACCTTTGACTACTTCAGAAACCTCAACATCCACTAGAGACAGCTCGCTGTCACTGCAGCCAGCACTGAGAGGGACAGTGTCACTGTGGGGCTTCCCGTCCTCTGTCCGCCCTCGATCAGCACGCCCCTCCTCTTCTCCTGAACCACAGCACCCTGCGAACACTCCCGAGAACTGTTGAAAAAAAAGAAATCACTATATTTTTACAAGGCCAGCTATTTCTACTGTATGTTGAGCTAATAACTGGTGGGCTGACTTTATTTTTGTAAAACGTTTACATTTTTGATTCCTCATGGGTGTCTGATCTGAAAAGTCTTCCTCACCTACCTGTTAAGTGTGCACAGGGTAGTCTAGAAGCAATACAACCAATCATGGTGTGTTGGTGCTTACTGTGGTCCTGGTGTGCACTGTACAGTACAGTGGAATTCATTTAGAGACTAGTTGCTGGAAGTGCAACCATAGTTGTCTTTCTAAATGCATGTAAATCTTTTTTTTTTTTCATTCTAGCAGTAAATATTTATACAGGACCCTAACCCTAATTAATTTGCCCCTAGCCATCATTGGAAATAGAGCAGTTGGCGATCATACAGCTTCTTTTCTTCAACTTTGCACATAACACTTTAATTGCAGATATTGTAGCTAAGAATGATCTGTTGCTTTGATGCCAACTGAAGAGTTGTACATATTCAAGTAGTGTTGGATTCACCATGACTGAAGGGGGGCAAGGAGAGCGCTGTGGCGAGATGCCACTCACAGACTGTTGTATACATAGCTGTTACATGTATGAGGTTAATGCCTGTAGTTTTAAGGTTCAGGCATTATTGTTTGTTTTGTCTAGAGGGGAAAAGAGCTTATCAAGCATGGCTAAATTGCAGGGGCCCCTGGTCTGAACTCTATTTTAGACTAGTGATAGAAAGGCCTCTAATCAAGGGTAGATAGTGCCTCCAACAGCATAATGTATAGCTATTACATACAGCAAACATGTAAACAGAAACTATGTAAAAAGTTGAAAGCCAACTTTTTCATTTGTTGCTCAAAAAGTGATATTTCTTGTGAACTGTACAAATATTTAAAGATTTTTTTCTAATGTAGAGCATTTTAATTATTCTCATCTAATATTAACTCTCTGTGTAACTGCTCTTTTGACCATGCCTTTGCAGTCTTTTCAGTATTCAACATGTTCAATAACTACTGCTGTATATACATAATGTAAACTTTTATTAATGAAATATTTTGACAAGAACTGCTCTTGCGTTGCAAAAATGTTATGCTGCACAATTGCTCAGAAATGCCTGTATGTTCATCAGTATGAATAACCTGATGACCGACAATATGTAAATTGTTTTTATTAAATCCAGTGAAACGAGTGTACACTATACATGTATGTTTTAATTAAACATGAGAAATGTACTTTGTTTGTATTCGTACTTTTTATATCAACACGGATGAAATGCTTTAGGGTGCACTCGTAGTCTCCAATGTAAAAATCTGTGAATTGTGCTTAAAATCATTTGATCAAACTGTGCAAACATTGGACTTATGACTACATGGTTTAAATAACCTTCCATCTGAGAATGAAGCGCTTCACAAATCTTCATATCATTTCTGAGAAATGTACTTCTTGGATAATTCACAGCTTGGTATATGAACTGTATTTGCCAAGTAGTGGAGGATTTGAACATAAAATCAACAATCCTTGTGCTTTTTACATGTTGTATATATTATGCTCGGGACAGCAGCAATGTAGTGTTGTCGATCTGTATTCCTTTTGTACCAAGGCACACACACAAGAACCACAAAGGAGTAAAATATATCTATTATTTAATTTGTTTTACATTCACAATTTTTACAGCCATTAAAGCTCACACGTTTTGAAGATCCACCAGCGACCTAGCATGACGAATGCATCACTTGCTTGCAAATGCCATGATCTGCTCCTGCAGAGGAAAAAGAGACACCAATTCAGAAACTCTGTGAACTTTGAGTCACGCTTACTAAAAGCCTGTTACAAGTGCGTGGCACTGAAGACCTCTATACAAGACCTGTAAACCAGTGAACGCACAACATTTAATATGGAAAAAATGTCACGCTTAACTTCTGTGCCTCCATAGTGAACTGCCTTTACAACCAGTCACAGTTGTGTTGGTCTGAATCACTTAGTAGGGAATAAAGTCATTTCACATGAGTGGTCGGTAATAAAAGGGGTGTGAAAACACAAGCCAACACCGCTGTCCGCTGCCCCCGGGCCAGCACTGCACCCCACCCACACACTTTTGGTAACACTAAATTTGGGGCTAAACCTAGATGCCATAGTAGTAGGTTCAGAACTCTGGAAATTATAGACTTCGTTAAAGTAAAGCTCCATGTAATCAGAAAAGCGCGTGGAGGGTGGGGTCGGGGTGGAGGAGGAGCTTGGGTTTGATAGGTGGTTGATATCATCTGAGTGATGGCCAGGTTCACTGGGATGTGCAGGAGAATATGTGCAGGAGGTAGAAGCTAGAAGGGACGGAGCTTACTTTTAGCGCTGGGACCATGTTGGTGGCCTGCACACCAAAGGTGCGTAGGAGAACAACAGGGGCGGCGTTAGTGGAGTAAAGGCGCTTCATGAGGTCGATGGCAGCCATCATGGCCAGATTGTGTCGTTGGCGTTCAGTTTCATATTCCAACAGGTGCTGAATGGCTCCTGCAGAAACAAACAAAGACTGGGGGTTAACAAATGAGGACATGGTTTAAGTTGTGAACTTCCGTCATATGCTTTCTGCATTAAGTCAATACACTGGTGCTATTTTGAACATTCAGAGCATTTGACAGTAGAAAAAATAAACACCGTATCTCATAACAGGATTTTATTTTTTATGAAAAGCAACTTGCATATAGTTATGACCAAAATGACCAGAAAAAAAAACATCAAATAAATGTTGCCGGAAAAGCTGATGCTTTTTATAATTCAGGTCAAAAACATGCGTTTGAGTTGGGGCTGTGGAAAAGAGCTTAGGGGAAACCACTGTACTATGGTTGCAGTGCTTGTGTCTGTTTAGAGTTCTCACTGACCCAGGTCCTTCCCGTCAAAGGCCGCCCTGCTCAGGAGACGCGTAAGGCAAGCCACATCCCCAAAGCCCAAGTTGGCTCCCTGACCCGCCAGCGGATGGACACGATGGGCTGCGTCCCTGCAAAGAAAAACAGTATGCTATTTTATGCACAGTGCAAGATGGTAGTGTTAGGTAAAACATTAGATGAGACAACAATGAAAAGCTCAAAAGCGTGCTTATCAAAGTGATTTTTAGGACTTTTTCCAATCGGTATCTTCTCTTAAAAAAAACATTTAAGTGCTAGTGTGCAGGCAATTATGACCATCTTACCCAATGAGAGCTACACGGTGCCTGATGTACTCTGCTGCATGACCGGTGCCCAGAGGAAACATGACCCTGGTCTTTGGGCCGACCCCTGCCACACTCGGGGGAAGCTGTCGAGGTGATCCTGCAGATGGCATGATGGCCGACAGGGTGCTGCGGAACAGAGAGCCGGCCGTCTCGATCAGCTCTGACTGGTTCTCATTACTCCACTGTAAGTGCACAGACAGACGGGCAAGAAGACAGATTCACAGAGAATGAAAAATGACCAGAAGAGAGAGAAAACAGACATGATCCCTTTTGAGTGGACAAAGAAATTAGCTGACATAAGAGCAAAGCTGAACTCCAGGCCAGTGAAAGTGCTCTTTTTTCCCCCTCCCTAACTAACTGGTTTGGCAGGGCTTCGGCAGCTGGGCTAATTAAAAGAAGATGCCGGCCAGGCTATGCAGTCGAATTAGCTCCGTTTGAAAAACATTCCATGCAGTAATGGTCGACACTGAGAGACCACAGGTTTAATTAGCAAACCAGGCCTGAAACCAAACGTGACTCAACCGTGGTGACCCCGTCCATCAGCAGGCGCAGTAAAAATAGCCAGCTTGGGAAAAAGGAGTTTCTCCAAACATTAAAAAAAAAAAAAAAATGGATAGGTAGGTCATCCCCTGAGTGAAATATTAGTACTGTTTAAAAAGTTTGGGCAAAAACAATGACAGCATTGTTTGCATGAGTCACAAAACAACAGCTCAACACTTAAGTGAGTCTATGGAGAACTCCTGCCACATGTTGTACACTGCACACGATACAGAAATGTTGCAACATCTTCCTGACAGATATGAAATCTGACTGCGACTACAACATCAGCAGTTTGGAGCGAGACTCACGAAGGCAGAGTTGACGGCGTCGACAAAACTCTCCTCATCCAGCTGCAGCAGCTCCTCTGCCTGCCGATGGCTGGTTGACCACACCAGAGAGCTCTCTGTGTCCGACAGCTGCAGTGCACAGAGCAGGGTCCAAGAATCAGATACTTATGAGACTGACGGATACTTTGAAAGAAAAATAATCCTGCAGTAAATAAAGTAGATATATTACCGGTAACATTGCAATGGGCCCTGATGGGAGAAACCTCTGCCATGCGACATTGTTCTCTGTGGGCTGTCCAACACATACATCTGATTCAATTAAATATTAAACTGAAGTATTGTGGCATTGCATTGTTAATTACATATTTCGCACATAAAAACAAGTTATTGCAAAGGGTTCTTGTGGGGAAAAACACTCCATAATAAATTCAGAACTCAGTAACATCCAATGACGCTTGCTTATAGTTTATAAGTGTACAAATTGTTAATACAATATGCAAAGCAGCATGTGTCCAATGTGATACTCACCTCTGATAGGTGCAGCACAGCAACCACCGCTGATTGGTCATAATTCCACTTGACTGTTGGGATCCCCAATTCCTGCCGAACCAATGAGTTCGGTCCGTCTGCACCGATCTGAAAAACAGATGAAAAAATGGAAAACAGTAAAAAAAACAAGAAGAAGAAGAGATGAATAACTAGAGTTTGTGATGATGGAATCAAACTGACCAACAGCTTGGTCTGAACGCTCTCTCCGCTGGCCAACATGACCTTCACCCATGGGATGGAGTCCTCTGCCAGGTGGGGCATGGGCCACGCATACTTCACCACCTTGGACCGGTACTTTACTTGCACGTTATCTGACAAACAACAAGGACATAAAACTGGTGACTACAAAGGCAGCAGAGAAAAAGAAAAAAAAGGCAGATTCTTAAAATAAAATGGCAACAAACGCACAACAAATAGATCCGTCTTTGGTCCCGTGTATGCGTCATCACAGTAAATCAGTGCTTTGCTACGTTTACCGTCAAAACGAGAGAACTCGTGTGCTGCAGCCAAAGCAGTGGAAGATCTATAAAACACTTCATAAAACACCACTGGTTTTCCTCCCTGGCACATTGTAGCTGCAAATGTTTACATTTGACAATCTTCCTAAATGGTCTTGGCTTGCCACATTGACCTAACTAATAGTGTTTATCTACAAGCACACCGCGCCACACTTTGCACATGCTGCCAGCTTGTTGGATTTTGCGATAAAACGGCCCCTCTTCCTAAAATATCAGCAGCTGGACATCCTACACGTGAAAGGATCCTGAGCTACGCTGGCTCATGCAGAGTTGGAGGGGGGGGGACCCGTCCACACCACTGCTACTGGATCCTGAACACGATCAAATACGGGTTTCCAGGGACTTTGAGAGCAGGGTTACATTGAAACCAGCTGGTGTGGAGCACACTTTTCATGTACTGCATCTTGAACATCACGGCTAAAATGAGAGGAGAGAAGCCGACAAATGGGAGGCACATGAGGCAAAAAAAAAAACCGTGCTGTCACCACACATTTGTTGTTTGGTGCAAAATGTTGAAAACTGTTTATAAATATGCCACTTTAACTGTCAAGCACAGTAATGCAGGGCTAAGTTTTATTTGCAAATCTCACAAAAGTTGGTCTAATGTCAACAGCAATGCAGCACTATACACTGTCAGCGCTTTCGTGTCTTAAGAGGTGGCAAAGCTTGGGAGCACATGGCAGCTTTAAATAGGTCACTGGACCACTTCACGTGTGCACAGAGGGTGCCGGGCCCTGCAGTTCCCAAAATGTGAAGTTTTGATTGAAATTGCAGGAAAAACAGAAGCCGCTCCAAGGGCTGAACTGGTCTTTAAAAACAGTCACCGGGAGAGGGTACAAATAAACAAAACCTGGGGACAGGATGGAATAAATGTGGTGGCATTAGCTGCCAGACTCGGCTTCCTTTGGGCAGATGGAAGATGAATCGAGAGGTCTCACAGAGCACTGCTGCTTACTGTGTGGGGCTTCATGTTTTAAATCATAAATGCTGTGCTTACCGGACAGGCTGTCCAGCTGTTTAGTGAGTGCAGCCACAACGATGTCATTCTCCACGATGTGCGCCATCTCGTCCTGCAGGTTGTCCTTATCGAATGTGATCAGGACATCTGAGCAGGCATCCCAAACCTAAATGAGAGACTCATTATGCCTGCGGTCTACAAGTATATCCTTAAATGCAGCAATTATGCATCCCCTCTCCCTATATATAGCTGGGCAGAGAAGTGGCGCTTCATCCAGCTGAACACATCAAAGTCGTTCGCTGCTGTCGGAGGCTGGCACAGCCTACATACATTAAAACCCAGAGCAACGAGGGTCACCAACACTCCTCCGGCTGGTCGGCTGAGGACCAAATGACACTTTGTGATGTGGATTTTTTTGCAAACATTCTCTTGGAAACACAAATAGCAAATGACATGTTTGTGAACATAAAGAGTAAGTCAATATTTATCCGCAACCAAAAGCGGCAGAGTGAGATATAGTTTTAGGTTACTGTAATTCCAACCTGGAATTACTATTTGGGTTAAACATGAGGGGGTGAAAAGTGTTTGTACAAGGTTAATCGTCTCCTGGGTTGTAACTATGGTGACAAAACCCATCATTCGGCAGTAATATGCTGCTGCACTACTTTTTTCCCAACTTGCCATAAAGTAGGGGGATATACCCTCCAGAAAACCACTAATGGCAGTGGGTTTGCAACTTGTGATAAGTGGTTGGGAAGTAAGATATACTGAGACCAGCCCAAAAATTGTTTTGGTTTTTTTTAATGCGGGGTGAAATGATGCAGTGTCGGGGTAGAATCTGTCACTACATACTTTAGGATTTAAATAATACACTTCCTCGCAACTTTATAGAGAGAAACCTGGGCAAATGACGCCTTGACGGCAAAAGCTGTTTGCCTTCCGTTTCAAATCTAAACCCTGGAAGAGCATTTTACTGCATGGAAAGAATGTTATTTAGAGTTAACCTGCAGTACATACTTTTCAGGGCAATTGGTGAGATGTATATGACCGACATTGAATGGGCAAACAAGCCAAAGCAGTGGTAGCAGAGTCAAGGTATAATGGGAGAGGTACACTACCATAATCACTGAAAGGCACTGCATGACGACATCTTAGGCCCAGAGAGAAACCCTGCGGTTGAGTGTTTGGTACACAGCAACCACATCTTACTGGGCCTGCAGCCACAGCCGTAAAGCGGGTTCACTCTGCAGCAAACAACCACTCTCCAAAATCTTTCATCTTCTTCCCGTTGTTCACATGAATCTTCATAATTATAAGATGTGGGGAATGAGTACCAATTTGAAAACGTCAAAATGATTTAGTCTTCATAGAAAACATGGCTTTAATAAATAAAACTTGCCAAAGAGCATCCAGTACTTTGAATATGCCGGGAGATTGCTTTTTTTTTTTTTTTTTAAATATACCTTATGTTTTTTGGCATTCCTTGTGCCTGAAAAGTCATAAATTGCACAAAGGAATGAATAAAATGCAGTATTACATACAACCCCAGGCACCAGCCATTTTATGTGAACAATTACATATCATATGATTATATGATACAGCACTGTGCTGCTTGTTCATTAAGCTGAATTACTGAGTACAAGCTGAGCGTCACAGATTACTCTCTCCACTAATTGTATGGGCTGTCACTGTGATTGGTGGATGACAGAAATACACACAGTTTGCCTGTAAACTAGAAAAGTCTGGACGACATATGAATAAAACTCAAGTTGTGTAACAGAAGGATTCTGGGAGATGCGCCACACTGTAGTAGGCGCAAGTTATTTTTGTTTGTCTTAAATTATACTTTTCTGAACTTTTGACATAGCAGTACGGAGGCAGTTACTGTATCCTTCAGTTGCGGATAAAAGCAACTTGAGCTGAAGAGCAACGTACCTGCATCCTTTTGTAGGGCTTGCTCCTCATCTTTGTGATGTGCTCCCATGCTCCAACACCTGTGTGTGCACAGACACATTTCAAAACAATTACAATACGAATCCAATGCAACAATGCATGTCTCTGTATCAAAAATAATTGTAATCATACTCTAAAAGTAAGATCATGAATTGGGTGAATATTAACAAAAGTCAGTACAAGTGGAAGGAAGGGTAGAAGGAAATTGGTCCAACTGGTCTTTGTGATCGGGGATAAGTCTGAGGTGACCTGGGCAGAATTCAGTAGCACTGGGACCAACAACCAGGTGTTCGGTTGAAGATGAGTTAAAGGTGGAGTCAGCGATTCTGGAAAAAGACTGATAATTGAACTCAAAACCCAAACAAATACCCCCCCTCCAGGTTTACCGTGCCTCTAGCTCCCACTACCTTCCTCTTTATACATCCACGGCCTTTCCTGTCCTATCCACATGCATGAATGCCCCCTGTTGCTGATTGGCTGGAATAGAGTCGTGTTTCCCCATTTATAAATCCAGGGCTGTGTATATTTTTTTCTGCCCTCACATAGAGCAGACAGCTAGCGAGCAGCGAGGAGATATTCGCTGAATTTGATAAAAAGTGTATTGGATTAGAATCGCTGACTCCACATTTAACGCCCTTCTATTAAAAGAAAGTCTTAAAAAGTGGCAGTGGGCTGTATTTTATCTAATTACCTTAAAACAAGAGTTTAAATCACCATTTAAAGTTACTGTAAAACATATGTGGTCGAGGCTGAAAATGTTGTGAAGGAGTGGCAGCGTTCCATAAGCTTGAGACAAGTTCTAGCCTCTTACTGTTTGCACAGGTTCCAGTTGGAGGCAACAAGCTCACAATCAAGCACAATGTTTCAAATAATACCAATACCAATACCTGAATCAGGATGAGCGTATGTGTCCAACATTCAAAGTAATTTAGCCAAATGATTGTTGTCCATAGCTCAAATCACAAAGGTTTGTGTCGTTTTTGAGACTTCATAACTTGTGTTGGTTTGTTTTTCGGTTAGGTAAACACTTGAAAATGAATCTGTATTTTTTTTGTAAACTGTCATATGATTCATCAGCATGAGTGTAAACACTGGTTGTATGTGGCAGCACATACAGGTAGCCTGAAAGCGTGAAATATTAAAACACACAGGTCTGGACGGATGGTCATGTTCAGCGATTTTTAATGGATTCTAGACCCGAAATGGCGGATTTAGGACATAGAACGTGTTTCACAGGTGAGTCCGTCAAGCCTGGCTAAATATACAGAGACAAATACGGTCAGATATGATCCCTGGTGACTGGACCTTGTGGGGGCCATTTATCAGTCAAGCACCACAAGCTTCTCACAGGAAGCGAGCTTTTTGATATACGTTTACATTGTTTTGTATGTCAGGTTGTATACTGTACCACTGAGGAGGGTGGTAGAGCCTGGACTGATGGAGCTGACTCTGGTGCTGTAGGTGTCTGGGACCTTGTCCATGACTTTCTTTTTGCCCGCTTCAAGCAGAAGAATCTTCTTACCGTCCAAGTTGGGATCCATGCCTTTCAAAAAAAATCATGAAAATATTGAGTAACAATGGCAGCACATATATAAGATTAAGTCTAAAACAGTTTTGCTACAGTTCAAATTATAAATCTTGTATCTCATATTTTTCCTTCTGGCAACACATCGTAGAGTTTATATTTGAGTAGTTTATAGAGTAATAATCACACGTTTCTATGGGTCTATCTAAAGGGATGCAGGTTTCCTGTCATCTCTGTTGACAGTATTTAAATGTGTGGTTAATAATAGCTGAAGGACGACGGCGTCACTCACCGAGGGAACACGCCATTGCAGATCCAACCATTCCTCCCCCGGATATAATAACATCATAAACCTCATGCTTGGTAGAGCCGTCTCCATGTTCTGCACACACTAATCCTCGGCTGGGGATTTGTATAGCAGACACGTGCTTTTCTGCCACAAAACACCGGCCAAGTCCGTTAAAGGCCAGCGTCGCCCTTGTGAGCCTGTGCATGCTTCTGTCTTCACTCGGTATTCATATGAGACGAGGAGAAACCAGTCCAATGCTGAGGTCTGGATACTTTGGTACGTCTCTATCAGAGAGACGAGTCCACCCTGAGTGTGTCGTAATTACGGCAGCTGGGTCATTGTGTGTACTCCTGCAGCCGTGTTGCTTTATGTTGACAAACGCTCCGAGATGAAGTACTTCCGGGTTTCGTGTCCAATCACAGAAGACGATGCTGCTTCTGTCCACACGCGGTGCTCATGCTGCCGGCGGCGACACGGATGTGTGAGTGTAAGTACAACACGCTTGCTTCGGTGTAGTACTCTGTAATACTCAACTTTATGTCAACAGACAGAATAAGATGTAATGTATTTTGTCAGCAGACAGCTTTAGTGAACTTAAGTTCCGTTTGGAAGAAGACGACGAGAAACTCTTCCTAAAACGCGTCTGAATTACCAGGTCTGCTGCTCATTATTACTTTCATCATTTAATCATTTTGCTTTTCAGTTGCAGGAACTCGAGAGGTTTGTATAGAAGTACAATAGTGAAGTAAAGGAATATATTAGCAACAACTAAACACGTGTCCGTAACTCGACATCACACGACACACCTTATGTTGATGTCTGGTTACCTTGGTAACCCGTTTACACGCACCGGATGTGGTGTTGTAAATTTGATGTGTTTGAAGTTTTATTAATTATTAGCAAGCTTTTAAAATACATTGATTTCTCATTTCAATTAATTTAATAATCATTTAAAACGACAGAAAATTGTTAAAAATGTCCATCACAGTATCCAGAGACCACGCTGACATATTTAAACTCACAGATATTAAATTTTGAATGAAGTAATACATGTATAATTACATTCTAAATATATTCAAATTTGAAAAGCTGGAATCAGTTTTGTTTTTTTTTGCCATAAATGAACAATCAATAATCAAAATTGTTGGCAATTCATTTTCTGTCCATCATTTAATCAATTCGTTGGCTGATCATTTCTGAGCTTTTAAAGATGTTATTTAGCTGCTCAATTTCAGAAAATGTACAGAGAACAAATAATTGGACAATGTGAACTTTTGTGTGTGTGTGTGTGTTTGTTTTGATGTGTGTTCACATTGAAGGTATTGGCAGAACATGTATTTTTCCCTCCCCCTGCATATTTTCCATCATGCATCATATTCAGTCACATTTTATTATTTTATGTAAAATTTGTCCTGGAATTGTATGCTGAAATAAAACAACAACGAAATAACTAAGTAACAATTAACTTCCCATTGATAGACAAATAGATGAATTGATTTAGCATTTCAGCGCTAACTAAAACAAAACAACTTTTTGATTACAGGAATAGAGCACCTTTCTTTTGTTCGTTTCACAAGTCAGAGAAATATGCCAAAGCTGGAGACCTTGGAAGCAGATGGACTCAGGTCAGAGTTAATGCTTCAGCAGCACCTGAAGGCCCTGAGTGAGGCCCTCAGGCAGCAGCTGCAGGAGATAGAAACAAGACAGAAAGAGGAGCTTGAGAGGAGGATTCATCAGAACTCTCTACTGTCAACAGAGTCCGCTGATCAAAATATACATCAGGCCAAGTAGGTTTCTTATGTCTTTTATGTTTGGTCATAATTATAACATATCAATTTTCTTAAAGATCTTTACTGTTTTTTAAGACCTGTAGGAATGAGGAGATCCACCTCCACATCTGCCCTGACCTCAGACAAAAAGACCTCACAGCGTCCCAGACAGTCAGAGAGCCCCAAATTATCTTCAAAGTGGAAGAATTGTTCGGACAGAGTTCCCGTGCTCACTCCTGCCACGACTCAACAATGTGAGCGGTTTGCTTTATCTAAGACAACGCAGAGGAGCAAAGAGGAGGAGGCTGAGGCCGAGTGTCAGAGGAAGTTCTGCGCTCGCCCAGTGCCCCGCCACGTCTTTCAGCCCCGCTATCAGGAGATGATGGAGCTGAGAGAGAAGGAGAGGAACCAGGGGCATGAGCAGAGGAGGGACTTCTTGCTCTCCATTCAAACACCTTTCAGTTTCCAGGAGAGAGAAAAGGAGAAAAGGGAGAAGCTGATAACAATGTTGAACCAAGTCTCGCACAAAAACAAGGCTGCTACCGTTAGGAAACCTCCTCAAAAAGATGTGACAGACGCGTCACATTCTGAGCTAAAAGGTGGGTTTACTTTCCTGATGGAATGATGCTGGAAAGTGTTTGGTATGATAGTTGGAATTGATGTGAAAATACGGAGAGATCAGACTCTTTGTAACATAACTTTGTGTCATTTTACAGAACAGTATAGGCCAATGGTTCATACTTTCATTTGGCTTGTGACTCTTTTATTTGTGACTTGTGACCCCCGTCATAAGTAGCACATGTCAGTAAGGTGTGAGCATTTCAACCAAAGACTGATGCTTCCCTCTCAGATGGTTCCACCTTTAATGTTTTTAGATGCCTGAATAGTGTCACAAAATATGGAAACCACACATGACGCTTAAAAGTGAGCAATCAGTTCATTACTGATGTGTGAACATGACAGGAGCAAGAAAACAAAGATGAACCAAGCAAGTGACTTAGAGAGGAAAGAGAGACTGCCTGCCAGTCACACAGGTGTCAGTCATTACTATAACGAGAGACTCCTCACAACTTGTTAATCATCCCCCAACGCTTCAGATTTTTCTTGGGCCCCTTTAGGGGTCCTGACACGTTGGGAATCACTGGTAGTCAGTCAATATAATATATGTACTGATTTTCAAAATTGATAGTAGCTTCTGTGCTGTAGAAACAAGACTTCCTAATAAACATTTACAAATACATTATGTTATTCGGTATTTTTCTTGTTATGCTCCTGAAATTCATAGTTAAATTTGATACCATGCGGTGATGTCACAAAGGTGTGCCTGACAATGTGTATTTGTAAATCACAGTAACAGTCAGCCATAATGATATGAAGCAGTGTACCCGATCAATTTAGACCAATTCAATGGTGGCTTCTCGGTGGCCTATACACAAACAAAAGCAGTGCTTTGTTCTAAAAAAAAAAAAAGACACTTTATTTGTATCATGTCATTTTGGGTGCATGTATATACAGTACGTGTGTTGCACTTTATGTAGTGACATGATTTCATCTTTCACATCAACTAATTGTTATTTTGTCCAGACCAGGAGCTTTGCAGTCAAGTCCCCACTCAGACAACAGTGCGACATATGAATCCTACTGTGTCTGGCAGCCCGAAACTTCGCGCTGCTGAGCGCACCAGGAAGGAAAAGTTGGGCTTCCTGGATGAGAAGCCCAGCTTCCAGCCAAAAATCATCCATCAGGTTCCAGATTTCAGAAGGCTGCACAAAGCCCTGCAGACAGAGGCGCTGAGGAAATCACAGAGTAAAGATGGGATCAAATGTCAGCCCTTCTCTCTGAGGACATCAGCTCTGCCTGCCAGGCGAAGTAGGATGAGCCCTGAAAACACACAGGTAGGACCTTTCCTTTACCACACACCTGTTTGTTGACTATAAGAATATGTTAAAATGGTTGCATTAGTTGTTGTTTTTCAGTTGCTATTATGCATTCATTCACTTTTTGTGTAGTTTGGTTTTAGTTAAATGTAATGCTTTGATATTCTTTTTGTATATTTCATTAATATTGCATCAATAAAATGTAAGAATAAGTCAGAGTCGGTGTCTCTGGAGGAATTACATAAGAAGAGATCCGGGACTCTAAAGCACCCGGCCCAGATGGCTGGCTTCACATTTTAGTTTTCCACTACCCTGTTTGACGCATGGCTTGAGAGACATCCACCACCACCCTTCTCTTTCCTTAAGGCTGATAGGAAACCACCAGCCTTCCTTAAAGCCTTGAATGTTCTAGATGACAAACAGTGTTGATTACCTAAAGCATTGCTTGTCCATATCACTTTGATTGCACCACATGTACAATAACTGGCATAATTATGATATTTACATGCAGTTTTTGCCATCTGTACAACATTCTGTCATATATTACTGTCGTCCCTCAACACTCAGAAGTTTATTTACAATGTGACAAAGGACATTGTACTTTCTACTCTTGTGTCTTTGGGAGTAATTTACTTGATGGTTCGAGATTTATTGTATGGGTTAAGTCCTTGTGTGGCATATGTGTTATTTTTGAGGCCGTTCAGACCAGTCCCCTTAGTTGTGGAACTGTGAAGCTTTTTAAAATATGTACAATGGGCCCTCTTCAGAGAGCGAAAAGTCCTCTCCTTTCAACAGTTGTATTTCACACTTTCAAACCCCATCATTTATCACTTATTTTCCTCATTTCATGCGGGAATATAAGACCATCTCTACATATGTTCATAGAACATTTGTTGGCTTCACACGAGGGCTTCACACGAGGGCATTACAGAGTAACAATAATTATAAACAGTAATTAAATATGAATAACAGTAATTCACTCTAATCCAAAGTGGTAGAATGAACTTTGTAATCAGCGAATGTTACTTCCTGTCATCCTTTCATATGTTTTCTGGCTCTGCCCACAATTATACAATTCCCAGAGATCTATTTTATGAACCATGCCAGACATTTCTGGGTGAAGTCATCTGATTTAACTTATCCTTTATATAGATATATTACGCCTTGTTGCTAAAGGTGTGGCACGTAAAAAAGCTACTGTAGATAAGTAGTCACATTATTTGTAGATTATAGTCTAGCATCTGTGAATGTTGAAGTGTTTTGTATTGATTGTTTTTACAGTAATTGTTGACAAACAAAAACTGAAAATTACATTTAAAAAAGAAAGAATTAAATTTATGAACTACACAATTAATGTATTTATTGACAGGCAATGTTGGTCTTCTCTAGTTCTCCTGCAGTACTTTTATTTTTCAAACAAATGCATATAAATATAAGTTTTTCATGAAACTACTGCTAAACTGCTACTCTAAGTCGTGCTGTGTCATCGGACAGAAAACTTTGTATCTCCGTCACATCCTCACTGCACGGATTTAGCAAATCTATATAAAGGCATCCATAATAAAATGTTAACTATCCCCATCATTTTCAGGTTCCAAAAGTAAGTAATCTCAGCAGAAGCAAGTCACTTGGTGCCTTAACATCACTGTCTGCAAACACACTCCCCACATACATCACAGATGCTGCGAGGAAGCGCAGCATGGCCATCAGGTGACTTGTATCTTTTTGCCATGGCTTTAGAACAATAGACAGTGTTTTTTTTCTTCCTCTTTATTGTTTCTACACAGTAAATAGTTGAATCCTCTGACATGCAAAATATGTTTTACCTTCACAGAAAGTCAATGGAGATGAGGGACAGCAAGAATCAAGAGAGTGCCGACTGGCTGAGGAAGTACCAGATGCGATCCCAGGCCATGAAGAAGACAGTCTCACTCCATGCGAGGTTGCTTGACCCACACAGCAGCTTGAAAGCCGCGTATAATGACAAACTACAGCAATATCGGTGAGTACTGGTCAAGTGAGGCCGTTCATTCTCCAACCTTTTGCAACTCGCCTCACAACGACCACAAACGACTTCCGCAGTAGCTCAAGCTATAATCTTCTCCAACATGCAGGAAGGCTGACCAACAAAGGACGAGAGAGTACACGAGGGAGTTACGGGATATGAAGGCACGAGTTGGCGAACGGCCTTTTTTGTTCGAACAGGTGAAGCAGGTGAGTGACATGGCGAGCTGAGGAGATTACATCACACTGTAAATGACGTGCCCCTGCAGCGTAACTTTGACTTTTTCTTTATGGCAGAAAAATGCAAAGGCTCAAGCAGAGCAGACATACAGGGACAAGCTGAAGAAAGCCGGCTTAAAGGAGCTGTTTGTTGAAGAAAATGGAGAAGCTGTTGAAGGAACATCGTCATCATTCAGCTCTGACGAGGATACAGACAAGCGCCACAGCACTGAGAATCCCATTTGCAGCAGGTATGTAGAATCTTTAGCCAGTGGGTCCGGTACAATTATGAATAGCACTGGTGCTGGAGAGCCAAGGACTTCTTGTGGTTTGGTCATACTACATTACATAATTTTCTGAGCTTGCCATGCAGTCTCTAGTGAAGAAAGATAAATACTGTAGCCAAGTAAAAGTTCAATGTAATTACAATATAGCCATTTTCTAACCCAACATGTCTGATTTAGGGAAGAAAATGTAGACGACGGGGAGAAAATTGAAGATGTGGAAGAGAAGAGCGTGAAGTCCAAAGGGGAGGAAATGCCATGATCAAAAAGGTTCCGGCGGTAGAGGGTTTTTTATGGCCTCTCCACTAGAAAACAACAAGGTCCTCCAAAATGATTCATGTCACGGCTAACTATTCCCACCGAGCATTTGATAGTTTAAGATGTGCAACTGCAAATTATGAAATGACCAAAAATCTGGACGTGACAATCTCTACAAACTATGTGTGTTTATAAGTAATTCATGTTTTATGTGATTTGAATATATATGTATATTTTTGTTTCATGGCAACACTTTTGCTCGGGAATATGAACACTGTAATTTAGAGGATGATGAACACTTGGTTACCAGGATGAACAGTTCAAAAACAAAATGAGAACTCCAGCTGAGACCACTGTGTCTGTAAAGTTAATTTGTGTTTTACGTACTTTAACTCAAGAATCTTCCTATAGCCATAAACAAATAAATAGTTACACTTTTACTGTGAGAACTGTAATCTGCTTTTGCTCTTAGTGGTTTTTTTCTTTGGCTGTTTAAAAGAACACATAAATGTAAATATTTTCATGGGTCAGGTCCCGTAAGGACAACGAGCGTCTGACATGGGCCTTTCTCAGATGCTTGGGTTAAAGTTCCCAGTTATTTCTTCAGCCACACAGCCACCTAAATAAACAGCCCTCACTGTGCAAATGCATTCACAGAGACCGGTTCAGTGGTCCGCTCCAAGCCTATATAGACCCACATCAAATACACTTAAACACTGGCCTGCACTGTAAGCTTGTGCTTAGGCAACTGACTTCCAGGAATCCTAAAAAATGAATGTCTGAATATATATATAATCATAATAAAAATGCAGTCATGGAGACCATACATACCATATGGTTACTTTGTTTTAGGCCACTGTGTTATGCATTGAAGACATAGAGGGCAATGTTTGTATGACTTCAGAAACACATCATAAAAAGTGAAGTGTCTTGTCTGACGGTAACACGATTGAAGGCGTAGTTTGAAATATAGTTTAAAAGAGTCCAATGTGTTACATAAAATTACAATTTGGTGCTGCCGGACAGATGTTTGAAAAGATAATTGAAGTTGAAACGCCAAAATGTTGCCATATAGTACCTAAAGATGCATCAAGAGTCCCTTCCTGAGATCCCAAACGTCACACGGTGAAGCTTCAAGGGCTCCATCTTGGCACGTTGTCATGGGAACAGTTTATCCCTCAGCTCTCTGCCTTGTCGTCCCTCAGGAGGATGCTGCGCACCTCTGATTTCCCCCCGGTGCACGGCTGAAAACCAGGCAAATCTCTCCCAACCTTTTAGATAATATCTGAGTGAGACGTGTATCCAAACAAGCTGCAGTGCCTCCGATGTGTGCGGAAGCCGAGAGAGGCAACAGACGCATCTCATTTAGATTAATGAGAGGCTGAGCACTTCACCGCCGAATCTTCTGATCACACTGTTTGAGGAGTGGTTCTACTTTAGCAGATGAGCAATGTAATTTCACCAAGGTGGTGCATTCAGGGCTTTTATTATTCCAACCGCTGTAAGATGTAAAGATTCACACACATTTGAAATCGTGTGAGTGCATGGGCTGCACATGTAGGCGGCTGAAGACACACCCTAGTATAGATGATACAGGCCTCACTGTCACAATGTCAGCCAATTCCTAAGCCTCACATTTCCCATGTCTGCTTTCTCCCCCTGACATATACTTACTCTCTTGACATTTCACATCCTGCTACTCACCCCTGTCCTGCTGTAACCCCTGTGTTCCCGCCGTTCTCCATCGCCTCACCTGCCCTGCTCACCTGTTACCGCTGCCCCATCAGCCCAGCAGTTTATGTACTGGCCCACTTCATTCCCCAGCAGATTATCTGTATACTTCCTTTTTAGCAGTCCAGCCATTTTCTCTGCCTTTTGGACTCCTGCTCTCTAACCTGATCCCCTTTTGGATGAGTTTGCCTGATCTCCCCTGCCTGTCTTGTTTTGACTTTTGCCTGTTTTTGACCTTTGGTAAACATCAGCAATTGGACTGCATTAAATACCACAGTTGTATTCTGTTTATTCTGTCGTTCATCTTTATTTCTTGTATATTTAAATTCTCTTGATTTTAAATATGTAGAGTTGTGTGCATGTATATCCTCTGTATGTTTTTAGTCCTCGGTTCACCTGCAGGAGGAGCTGTGGCTCGCTGCAGCCTCTCTGGAGCAGAAGAGAGAGATCCCTCTTTTTCTCCTTCAGTGGCATGACAAATATCCCCAGTGCTGGAGAGAGAGCATATCAAGAGGCAAACGAGAAGGGGAGAGAGATAGCAGCCAGCGTGACAGATAAGAGCGTGGCAGAACTCGTGGGGCTGGGGAAAGAGAGAGCAAGTGCACCACAGTGTCAGGCAAGGCTGCTGCCTGCACACACACAAACACTCACACACACATACATACACACACACGCACGCACGCACGCACACACACACACACGCACACACGCACAGGCAGACCCCTCAGCCCGGCTGCACCAGAAGAAGTTCAGAGAGAAGACTGACCTTAAGAAGGTACAGTATGTTTGTGCATCTCTAGCCTAGGAATCATATCTCCTGCAGTTGTGTCCCCCCTTCTTTAGATCTGAAACATTACTAACAAATCAGCTGCACTCACTTGATGCTCCACTTTATTTTCCAGGTGGGTTGGCGGACGTTTCGTCTGTGGATTAACTTGAATATCATGGCTTGCCTTAAACTGAGCCCTCTTGTCCTGTAGAGGAGTTGTGTGTTTCCGCTCTAGAAGAACTTGCCGCGTGTTTACAGCCTGAGGGAGGATGGAGAAGCTGTCAGGGAAGGACAAGGAGCTGGTACGAGGCAGCTGGGAGAGCCTGGGCAAGAATAAAATTCCTCATGGTGTCATCATGTTTTCCAGGTAACGTATGACACAAATCAGCATGATTGAAATGGAATTAAGACAGTAAAGTGAGATGTAAGAGAAGAAAATATTGTTATTCTGTGCAGTCATCCTTTCATCAACATTAATTCAAATTCTTTAACACTTAAACCAAATGTAATAGTATCTGTTGTTGTTGTTGCTGTTTTTTGTGTTGAGAAGATTTGTGCTTAGACTTTTGAAGTCTAGGGTCTTGGGATGCGTCTGAAATGCCATTTTCTTGTATTTATAAAAAGGAGAAAAACTGAAATATGGGATTTTTTCCGGTAATTTTCCAGACACCCAGTTTTTAATATTGCAAATATATAAATATCGCAATACTTTCATCAGTGGGACATAGGCTCAATCTCTTACGCTTATTGGCGATAGATAGACATAACAGACATTTAAATCAGTGTTTTCAAGATGCCACTTTGTAAACTGTGTTGTCAAGAATATGTACATGTGAATATATGTAACACAGGTGTGGAGAGAGACTCAAGCTAGATCCTTCGCTGCACACTTTCAACATGCATGGACCGGAAGCTTGACTTGTTGCTTGGCGACAGACTGCAATAATCCACAATTTACTTTGAGACAGCTGCCGCTAAATAGACTAGAAAGAGAGATTTTTAGATGTATGATTTATAGATTGATTTTGTGTCCGTGTGAATGCTTGTCAACCCATGCCGTGTGTGTACACACCTATAGAACAGTGTGGTATTTGTCTGTGGTAGACTGTTTGAGCTGGACCCGACGCTCCTCACTCTTTTCCACTACACTACAAGCTGTGGCTCCACACAAGACTGCCTCTCCAGCCCCGAGTTCCTGGATCATGTCACCAAGGTGAGCTCCGTTCACCACAGTCACCGCTACGAGTACAGAGTTCGCTCTTGTGCACAGTTGAGAACACTCTCCGCATGTGTATTTGTCTCTGTGCACGGCATATAGGTGATGCTTGTGATCGATGCAGCAGTCAGCCATCTGGACGACCTGCACTCCTTGGAGGACTTTCTACTCAACCTGGGGAGGAAGCATCAGGCTGTGGGAGTCAACACGCAGTCATTTGCTGTAGGACCAACATTTCATAGTACAACTCTCAAAAAGTAGTTTCACAAGTTAATGAGCTGTTAAAAGAAAAGTGTTTTTTTTCTTGTGTGTTTGTTTTGGACTTCTTAAGATGGTGGGTGAGGCCCTTCTCTACATGCTGCAGTGCAGTCTGGGCCAGGCCTACACGGCACCGCTGCGTCAAGCCTGGCTCAACATGTACAGCATCGTGGTAGCAGCGATGAGCCGAGGATGGGCCAAGAACGGGGAGGACAAGGCCGACTGAGGCGCACTGCGGTAGCTGCTGAGCAAGTCGCTGTCAAATCACTCAACATGGTTGCCATGGAATAAGGTTGTGTAACTTGCAGCATTGTGGCTTTGGCTGCTGTACATTTGCTCTTTGACTGAGGTTGCTTGGCGTAGCGAATGTACGGTGTGGTTACACTTTACAATCGGATCGACCAATCGCAGAGTTTCTTTTCTTTGCTGTGGATGTTTAGCTACCAGACGAGGCTGCTGTACAGCTGTTCTGAGCCGGCTTGCTTTGGACCTTCTAGGTCTGGAGCTGTAATCTGAGCGCCTCACACTGAGAAAAAGCAAAAAGGGTAACTGTTGAGTCTCTTTGTATATAATGGCTTTGATATATCTACTCAAATAACACTGGCTGTAGTGGTCTTTTGATGTATCTTAAAAGAGTTGCACAATTGTGAAACACTAGATATTATATTTAGGCATCACAAACTACTCAAACTGTGATGGTTACTGTGGCCAGCGTGGCAGCTCTCTATCTAACTGGAACACAGTGATTCTGTACACAACACGTTAAAAGGTTTGGGACAAAGCAATGTGATTATACAGAAGAGAGTCCCATCACCTTAATCATAATCATACTGTGTTTTCTATAGATATTACACATCATTACAACTACGTTTGTGTGTGACTTTGTTATCTAACATTTAACCTATTGATCAAAACATATTTTCAATAGATACTGACAAGAACTGTTACACTCTCTGATAGGTCTCCTCAGCGATCTATGACTGTTAAGGCGTCCATGTGCACCTTACTCAACATGGTGTGTGGCACTCTCCTCGGTAGAGGTTGTCATTACTTCAGCTGACTGTTAAACTACAACTAATAGACTGTTAACTCTTTACTTTAGAGTGAAGGGCATCTTTGGGGAATTATAACATCTTTGTTCTTGGCTATCAGTTTCTAGTCCTTGTTAGTGTAAAGTAGTTTTCTTGTGCTGTAGTCGCTTATCTTAGTAGTGCTTATTAACTGTATTTTTGTGGCTACAAACGAAGCATTACCTCAGCTTTAGAGGTGAGGGTGAGCAGAGTGGCTTGTGTTTTTCCAGCACATGGAAAGTGGGACTGGAAGTGAATATTTATTTTGGATTATGACACAAAGACACACGGAATTGATGATGATTTTTTTTTCCTTTTAATTGCTTAACACAGAACAAATAATGCAGATAATATGTGTTGTCACTGTCCAATATGTGTGTGTGTGTGTTGTTATTATTGCTGACATAACACTGTATGTATCATCCTTAGCTGTTGTTGACATTCATGGTCATAATGCCAAGTAACTTAGCAACAGTGCGCCAAGTATTAGATAATAACACCATACAACTGTAAATCCAAGCTGCTGATATGTGGTTATTATCGCTTCAGTCTGAGTTTACATTTACAAAGTTTATTTTTATATTCTGAAATGTTTGTGTTGTTAAAGAGCATTGTTTTGTTTTTTTCAAATGTGACATACAGTGTATCCTCCAGATGTGTTACCTTGTGTGGGTTTCATTTAATCAAAATAATAGAAATATATATATATATCTATATATAGATATATATATCTATATATATATATCATCAACTTCTAAATGTACAGTCCTTACAGAAAATGACACAAGTTGAGTTTTCTATTGAACTGTTTTATCCCTGCATCGTCTGTTCAGTCTGTACAGGTGTAATGTTTATTAACTGATTGTGTACGTGGTGTATTGATAGTGATTTATTTCTTAGTATCAGTACACAGCCCTATGCAGGTTGTTCTTCACATCTCTGTTTTCAATTACCCGACATTAGGTCTTATTAGCAGGCATGACTGGTAACTGGAATGGTATCCTTTTAACATCCAGCTCTGTACATATTGGGTGTGTCACTGTCTACCTCATCATTATCAGCTGCTATTGAACAGCGATGACTTCACCTAGTTATCCTTCAACCAAAAACGCACAGTATTATTATAGTTAATGCAAGCAAGCACTCTTTGTAAACTGGATTCCATCCTAAACAAAACATGTTGTGTGCTTATTTGAGACTAAATAAAGTGATCTTCTGTGGATATTTTACTGCTGAACGAGGTCAGTGTGTTTTCCTCTCGCTCTCAGATTGTTTGTCAAAGAACGATGATGGTTACAACACAATGGTCAGCGTTTGAAATCAATCATACGATGCCTGACTTGCTCCCCACTGACAGCCCATCTCCGAGTGTTACATAAGATCCAAGCGCTGAATGGCCGATAGCCCTCGGCTACAGAGACGAGCCCACTTACTCATGCAACTGCACAATGTCACATCAAGATTGTTTACAGAATTTCTAATAATTGACATGATGGTCTTTGCAATCTGGGCAGATTTTATTTTATTTTTTTGAATTTTCATCCAAAAACAAGTTAAATCCTTATTGATGTTTGCACGTGCTCCTGCTTTAAATATCAATATGCGTGTGTGTCCTGTAGGTAAAGCCATAGTAATGAGACGAAGGCTGGTCGATGTAATGAGTTATCTGATTACACAGGGCTCATTTCTCTCGTACACACAATTTGCCTGTATCATTGTAAAAGTCACATCCGTGAGCTGGCTGTCTGTTCTGCTGTTGAAGCGGTGGCTGACATGGCCTTAATCTGTCTCTCTGCACTCCACACAGCATCCCTACTCTCTCTGTCAAACTGTTTATGTTGGCTCCATGCTCCATGTCTCGCTTCGGCCTAGAGAACAACGCTGAGTTGTCTAGTCACTGGGCTTCATGGAGACTGTCCTGACCTCCGCTCAGGTCACCAACCAATGGTTAGATTGCAGCGCTGCTAACTAAAACACACAGAGTGTTTATTTACCTCGTGGTAATTCATTAATCGCTACCTGTAGTTCGACAGGCTCACCTTGTAGTGTGTACGAGGATTTGCTCTGAGGGCTGTCGTCGTCTGGAGAGGAGTTTGTGGGAAAAAGTAACACACATTATTTTTAGAAAGTCTGCAATGTGTTTTGGAATGAAGGGGTAGTGAACGTTGTCATGGCAACTGTTAGGTGATGGTGGTCCAGAGTCGTATATATATATATATATATGTATGTGTGTGTGTGTGTGTGTGTGTGCATTTGTTTTGTATGAAGGAGGAAAGCAAGACATTGCAATGCTTAGTCACTCACTCATCCTAAATGATCCTGTGGAGAGGAGAGAGAAGTGGACAATGCGTGCATGCTCAGGCTAACACGGTTCGCTCTGATAGCTGCTGGAGCAACACAAGCCTGCCAAGCAACAGGGAGAACGAGCGGTCTGTTACTTCCCACTTCAAGTACAACCAGTTAAAGATACCATAGGATTCATATATTTTCTGATTGTCAATCAAAATCCCATGAAAACATGACGTGATAGAATTTCAAATCTTTAAAAAAGAAAATATATATAAATATAGTTTCATTACTCTGTAATTTCCCAAAACTGTAGTTTTTAGCAAATGTAACTCAAACCAGAGTAAATTGTGTATTGATTAATACACATTTGGTGTTTTACAGCTTACACAGGTGTTTCAGCTGCATTTTCAGTCGGCCATCTCATGCGAGTCTTCGAGAACATATACACTTCTATTTGAATCTATGCGGCCATCAACACAGGTCGCATAACAGCATGTGTATTACACATGCTATTTGTGCTCAAACGCGACCAGAAGTGCATTCCAATGCTTCAAGTCTTACTTTCTTCCATTTTCTGCGTGCACCTACAGTGATTGTGTAATTGGTTCTGAGCACTGCCAAAAAGCGGGTGACCTGCACTCGATACTGTGCCTGAATGCATCTTGTGTGCACACAGATGGAGGACTGAAACTGCTGCTCTGCTAACATGCTGCTTTTGCTACGGGGGCTGTGTGGACATTATGTAAATATCCTGCATAACCTGGTATGCTGCATTAGATTACTGTTCTAGACACCTACTTGGATATAATGATGAAGCAATTTATACATGAGAGTTTTTGATTCAATAAAGTAAGGCCCCCCCCGTGAAACATTGTTTACAAAACAATCTCAACAGATTGAAACTTGAGAACAGAATGTTTACAAGGTCATGGATTAATTTACCATCTCATCTTTTATGCTAACATGGAAAAAAAAGTCTGTACAGTGCTGGAAAATAAATGGAAATTTGAAATTTAAAACTGGGAAAAATCCATCTGCTGAGGATTGTGAGGTGTGATCAGAAGCTCTTGCATATAGCTACTAAATAGAAAGAGTACTCGGGGAGATAAAAAGTTCAAAGTTATCAACGCAATTGCAACTACTTTGAGCCAAAATCTTATGTAAATACTAAACAACACCAACTTCTTAAGCAACATTTGCATGCTGAAACGAACCCATATGGGAGTGACAATATGTCTGCTGCAGGAGGTAGAGACATTTTCTATTCTAAGCATCTGGGCAGGAGTCGAGGAGCGACAGGCCGCGCACCCAGAGGAATTCACCTTTCACTGAGAAGCACACTCTCAGCAGTTGCCACGGGTGACAGGGGAAATGTTCGGGACTTTTCTTTCGTAACGCGCAGCAACGAAGAAGCACTGCATATAATGGCAGCCATGTAATGCTGTTTTTCTTACAAACCCTTTTATTGCTGAAAAAATGACATTCATCCAGTCAGTATGATCAACTTACTACAGAACCTCTTCTCCATCTACCAGTGGCTCTATGGTGCCACCACTACCAATGTGGTTTGGATAAAAGCAGATGCTCGTACAATTAATTGCCACATCCATCCTAAGATGTGGTTTCAGGGCTCAATGAGGCCTCTAGTATGTACTGAGGCTTGTCCCGAGGCTAGTTTGTATGCAGGTGCACTGCTTCCAACACTAAGCTAACATGCACTGAATTCATTAGTGGCCTCGCCCCTCTTAAATGAGAAATCCTTTTCTGTGATTATCTTTGGAGAGACGTGATCGAAGGAATCACGGTCATCTGTGGTGCATTTTGTCAGACTTAAGAGGAATAGTTAGGCATTTTGGGAAACATGCTAATTTTCTATATTCCAGAGAGTTAGATGATAAGATTGATATTACTTCAATCTTCTCATCTAACTCACGGCAAAAAAAGACAATAACTACAATTTTCCAAATTCAAACTATTTCTTTAAATTGTCTGACGTTAATCCTAAACCAGTAATGCATGCAATATATCCTTTTGCACATGTCCTGATGGCATCATGTGCACATTCACTCTTGCACTACTGCTAACCACATGAAATGTCACTCCCTGCCTCTTAAAACCCTTCATCAGAGACCACAGTAGAGGAGAGCAATAAGGAGTTCATGGCACAAGATGAGTGGATCGAGCTGAATTCATTTTAATTTCAGATCACAGCACACTTCACTTTTGACAGATGAAAACTCATCGACAACACAGCTGACAGAGATCAATCTCAAATGCAGCCGTTCCTTTAACCTCAACCTTCTTGTAGATACAACAACCCACATTCACAGCCGGCTCACATACGGTATGAAACAAAGCACTTATGATACACACATTTCATAACCAAGAGCAAAAAACAGTGGACATGTCTGGAAAGCTAATGTACCTCCAAATAGACCTCGCGTGGCCAAGCCGACAGTATATGAACAGACATGACAGGATACAATAAAACTAGTTAAGCATGGACATTAGAGCTAAGAATATACTAATAAGTTTTATTTTGTATTTCTCAAAGGAAAGTACGTTTAATGATCTGTGAAGCCCACAGGACACACTGGTAGTTCACAGAGAGACATTTTGAGATGCTCTTTGATGTTTATTTTTCCAAATAGATTTTTCTTCATGATCCTCTGCACTGACCACTCTCGCTCTGCTGCCAGCTTTCATCTCTTTTATACAGCATGAGAAACTGCAGTTAGGTTCCATGTAAAATGTAGCAAACAGATTAAACATTATGCATAATATGCCATCAGTAAATCTGAAAACTATTTATATCACAGGCCTATGATTTTGCTGTCACTGTTAATCAAACATGGTAACATGTAAGAGAAACCCTACAAGGGAACGGCACTGGATAAAAAGATTGTATCCTCTACAGAGAGCTTGGTCATACATCTTATATGAACTAATAAAATATTGATTGAAGTCAACAAGGCACCGACGAGGACATAATACAAAACATCTTAAAGAAATGACAGAACTGCTGTGATGTAAACACACACAGTAAGATAGCTTAGTGTTGAGCTTGACGGTTCTTCACCTTGAAATTACAATAATCGCCTGCTTGTTCCGGAGCTTTCGATCATATCACATGGTGTTCATCGGCAGATGAAGTTTGCTCAGTTGTCACTGATCTGTAAACAGTCAAACATTCTATTGTTCTGGGCATCTTTAGGAGTTCTCCATGTCCAAATATGGTTTACTCCTAAAAGCTTCAGAAAGAGCAAGTAAGTGGACCTTGAGTAAAGATTGTTTTATCAACATGAATAAACTCTAAAGAATGAAAAAAAAGTCCAAAACCTGCACTAATAAAGTATAAAGTTTGAACATTTACAGTTGACCATGACCATGTTTATGAAAACTGAACAAACTAATCTGCAGTTGAAGACCATGTGGTATAGTCAAAAGCTCCAGAAAAAGACCTTTTAAGATTGTTTGGTCAACATCTTAGTGGAATCTGATGACTAACAGAATTAACTACCCATTGACTTGTCTTTGTGTTTGTTGTTGTGTTTTCATCTCTTAGATGTTTCTCCGCCCCCTTTAGTTTTCAGTCCATGCAGCATATTTCAGGCCATGCCGGGTTGTCACACGAACACTGTTCAAGGCACAGCAAGAGACATGAATCACAAACTACAATCAGTTTACATTCAGGAGAAAAAATAAACTTTCATCCCTCCACCAAAAAATAACACTTGGAAACACACAGACTGACAATGAGATTAGCACATGTGAAACTTGACCTTATGGTTAAGGATGGAAATGCATACCTCGTGTATACAACATGGTCAACATGCATGCAGAAATGTGAAATTTAAATAAAAAAATGTATAAATTCCTCTCGAGAGTTAAATATTGTTGTCTTGCAGTGAGAAGAAGTAGACACCACGCTATAGTTCTCAACATATTCTACAATTTGGGATAGAAACTTTCCTTTCTTGCAGATAATTAGACCACGAGATTTATACCACGCTCGTATGTGAAGGTGGTATCGATCTTCTCATCTAACGCTCGGCAAGAAAGTGAACTAGCATATGCAAAATGTTGAACTATTCCTTTGAAATAAATAAAAATAAAAATAAAGTTGGATCACATCAAAATCACGTCAAAATAGCATAATAAGGGAATACTCTGATTAAGACGGGAAATCCTTAAACAATCTCCAGTAAACCACAATATCAATGACACCAAAAATACTGTAGCAAAAATAGCAACGTAAATTGATAATAGTTACAACAAGCTTCAGGTACAGCCAAGCTGCTTGTGCCTCCTTGTTGAGAGTGTACATATATTACAGTACATCTCCGAGTTACATTCGGCCCTCCGTCTGTCTGCTCTCTCACTGCAGATGGCTTCACAACTAGCTGCCCTCACCCTCAGCCTCCCTGAGCTCTGCGTTCGAGGAACCAGATATCACCCGTGCCCAGACCACTCTGTCAGTCTGCCGGGGCAAGCCTGCTCACACCACCCACACTGATGGGAACTTTCACCTCCACTCATGTCCAAGTGGCACAGCATGGAGAGAGTATCTCTGATAGCAACCCAAAGGCAGTTCCACCCCAGACACTTTCATTACTTGAAACCTTTCTAACTTGCAAATGAAGTCACAGGAGAAGTTGCGATCCCTGTCATGTAGCATGTAGCATCCAATAGTTTAACTGAAATAATCTGTACATTTAGGGAAGTATCGTCTGTCGAGATTGGCGTTTTTGTCCATGAGACAAGTTCAGGAGATGTTTTAGCAAACTGCGGTCTATGTATTTATAGTGGCGTTTACATGGACCCTGCTCCTGCATTCTTTCCTCTTCAGGTTCTTCATCAAGCCCAGTCTGGTCCTAGGGTCTGAAGCAACGAAGTTAGAGTCTGAGGTCAAAAGCGAAAATGCAGCATTGCAGCATTAAGCAAGTTGTGTTCCCCAGGTGAAGGACATGTGGAATCAGCTTGGGGGAATTTGGTGTTACTGGAAGCCTACGGGGCTGTCCATGAGTGGGCTGGAGCAGTAGGGGTCTGGGGGGTCTTGGAGTTCAGTCTCATGGGTCTGGGCGTGGCCTTCCTCACACTCCTCTTCATCCGCCGCGCCGTGGCTTGAACTTTGGGAGCTGGCCATGGCACCGTAGCTGTGGTGGGCCGGGGACGGCATGGGAGTCAAAGCCAGCTCTGGCTCCAGCAGCACGGACGCCACAAACAGCTGAGGGAGGAAGATCAACATATAGTTAATGATGGTGTCACACAGTAAATCACTCAATTCACAGGGAGTACATTAGATTAAAGTATGTTTATCGTTTACCCACCCTACACTTAACTCATGCACTAACTTAAGATCTTAATTAACATATTTAGTGCGAGTGTACATATCCTGGATCCAGTCTAAAAAAAAGTGAATGGCAATTATCATAAATCCAGGTTTGGAGACATATAACCTATGCACTTTGAAGGATCGTGCAGGTGTTGGTGCATGTTTTAACTCAGCGATGGAAGAAATATGCAGATAATCTATTTATTCTTTGACAGCAAAGATTTTCTTTGGATTAATCCTCTGACATTGCTCAAAAATGCAATGCTCATAAGTGCAACACTGATCAGCAGTTGAGATCTCAGGTGTCAAAGCTTCCCACCAGCACAGTAAATGCACCAACAACAATACCCAATGTAACCTTTACACAAATAAAACTATTAAAACAAGCAAAAATACTCATATGATCCTGTAAGATATGTTGAATGGTGTACTGTCAGGCTAATAATAGAAATATGAGATATTGTACACTGGAGGCAGTGCTGGATGTTACAGTACTCCTGTCTGCATCAGTAAACGTCCCATCTGCTGGCTGATCAGACATCTGAAACAAAGAAATAGCACATTATTCATTCAGTATTAGTGCGTCTTTAGCTGAACTTAGTCTGTGTGGGTTATGGCGGAGCTGACCTGATAGCTTGTTGACTTGTCTGGTTGCTTCCTAAGGCACAAGCGAAAGAGGGAAAAGGCAATACAGGAGAGCAGGGACACTAAGGTGAAGAGGGTGATGGGATGAACTGGACCTGTGACAGTAAGGTGCAGTAAATTACAACTTCACAATGTTATATTGCACGCTCACAATACAATGACGGTTGCAGACACTGTTACAGGATAGAAATGGAAGTGATAAAGTACCTAATCTGAGCATTGAGAAGAAGAGCAGCCAGAACATGCAGAGGATGGGGGCCAGGATGACCTGGTTGATGGCTGCTCTGTGGATCCGTTGGCTGAGTTTAGTGGGAACGTATGCATAGTAGATGTTGTATCGGTCGACCATGTGCTTCAGGATCACATAGAGCAGACCTACCGTGGCAGGGAAAACACATTTAATTATTCAAAACACTAGAGCATTCTTTGGAAAATTGACGGCGGTATTGTTGATTTGGGGTGGAAAGACAGAAAACTCTGGTATGGTCCTTTAACATCATAGTGATATTTTATTTGTTGTTCTCCAAAAGTCCACCGAACCCCACACACAAGCCTTAAGGGCCTCACACACTGAATATGATGCTCAATGCAAAGTTGAATGCAATGTGTAATTCAATTATTGTGACATGGCTACAGACTGACCCGATTTAAAACAACAAAAAGGAAAATATGTCTTAAAAACAAGCAATTTACGTTTATTTTTTAGTAATTTAAGAATTTTCCCATTTAGCTTTGGCAAGTATCTTGTGTTGTTCTTTGTGTTTCCACCCAATGAGGTTCCACTCAACCAATGAGAGTATCTGCCACGGCTCTACCTCAGAAAAATAACAATATGCAGACAGCCGCTCAGGTAAAATGCACAGAACAGCAGGGTAGCGTATGAAAGGGCCTGTTCGCAAAAAATATTTGACTGCAGTGGCAAATAGAAGCTTGATGAGCTCTGGGCAGAGACAGGAGCAGAGTGGGCGTCTGGCTCGCAACTCACTGTGTCTGGGTGTCTGGGACTACAGCAGCAAATTCACACAGTCTGCATCGGACTGGCAGGCAGTGGAGGAGAGTGAGGTTACGGCATGAGGGGAGACGACGCATACACACACGAGACTAAGAGGGAAGGTGATGGGATGGTAAAGAAAGACAGAAGGTGGACAGAAGGAAGAGGTAGATGAGGATTTGTAGGTATGCTGCTCACCAAAGGGTGTAATGATGGGACACGTGATGCTGTAGGTCATACTGACTGCAAAGATACACATGGTCCAGGCATACTCCAGGCCAAACTGGAACTCATAGGCCTGGCTCTGCATATGAACAAACACAGAAAGCTGTTTAAAACAAAGCACAATCTAATGAACCTGCAATAAAAACACTGGGATAAGCTAAGAGATAAGGTTCAGCTGACCCGTTTGACATGAATGCGCTCAGCCTGGGACTTGGCAAAGCAGAGGCGGAAGGCATACACTGTCAGTGCTGGGATACGAAGCAGCTCCATAGCTGTGCCAATCAGACTGGATGTAATCACGTAGTTCACAAAGAATGCACCGTTGTCAGGAAGAAACACACACCTGCACCAAGAAAACAAAGAAGCCTGAGTGTTTGGCTGTGACCGAAATGTCTTTTTAGGGGTCGTGATACTCTTTGTACGTTTTATTTGAACAAAAAGACTTGTCTTACTGGAATTTGATCTCCTTCTCATCCAGGAAGTTGACATCGAAGAGCCATGTGAAGAACAGGTCCAGACTACAGACAGAATTAAATAAGAGCAACAAATCTAAACAATGTGTCAACTCAAAGGAATTCTGTGAAAATAAGCATAAAAGCAGAAGTAACGTTTGTTTTGTGTTATTGCATATGCTGTAAGTGTACCTGGACAGACCAAGAGAGGGCAGGATGATGACCATGAAGACCAGCAGGAAAAAACACTTGTGCATCGTTACTTGGTTCTCCCCAGATCTGAGACATTAAATGAATAACATGGGATTGTAAGAACATCATCATGCAATGCATATTTAGTTATGTAAAACTATATCTACGCAGTTCCCTTCAACATAGTAAATTCATAATGTGAAATAATGTAATGTAAAGTCAGCTGACTCGACATGTAAAGGACCGGTGGGTTCATTAGCACGAACTACGCTTTTCACTCCAGTAAACAGTTCATTTGCATTCGGTCCTTCGCACATCACGCCTGCACAACACGTTTGTGGGGGTGGTTATGTATAGAAAGGGTGCTCATTGGTGCAGCGTGAGGTCGTCTCCTTATGCACAGTAGTTCTGCTCCTCCTCCTGCTAGTCACCATGTGCCTTTCCCCTGCGCATGGTGACTACTGTGCATATCATTATCCTCACATGGAGATCTCTATGACAACCTGCCCAGAATATCAGTGCAGGGAGAGTGACAGAGAGAAGGAGGGAGGGAGTAAAAAGAGCAACAGGGTGAGAAAGAAAAAAATAATTGAGATGAGGAAAAAAAAGAAAGCAATGCTGAGAGTTGAGAGGAAGACAGGCAGCTACACATGAAGGGTCTATTTGAAGAAGGACAGGCATTTCCATTTCAGAGGAGAGAGATGGCTGATGGCTGGTGAGTACCTGGTCCAGTGGGACTCAAAGAAGGCTGAGTAGTAGACGATGAAGGGCAGGAGTACCGAAAACGCCCACAGCAGGAGGGTTGGGAAGAACTGGGTAATGACAGGGCTCTGGATTGAACAGCAAAATGATTTATTAATGAAAACGGAAGAGAGGTCAAATGTAGCATTACGGTCATACAGTTAAACTCTGACCCGCAGACTTTCTACAGGCCTCGTGACGTTGAACTTGTCCATTGTGTTGACGATGATGGCGGGAGTGGTGAGGAAGAAGAGCAGCAGGAAGAGGAGGATGTTGAGGAGGACGCATCGGAGCCACCAGCGAGATCCGCTCACTGACAGGTTTTCCCTGGTGACGGGAGAATTAATGAGCGTCAATACACAATCATCCAGCAGGACAGACTGGGCATTTACCACACTACTCTCCCCTGACAAGCCTGTACTGTATGTATTGACACAAGCCTGAAATAGCCAGCTCGGTTGCCTCTTGTATTCGAGTTGTGAGTCGTGTTTCCACTGCATTGGATTGGAGAGCGGGTTGGGAACAGCACACTTCAACGCTCGGTTTTAATGAAGGAACAAAAGTACCTGCTCAACCCCGCAGCCTGCGACTGCTCCAGTTGTCTAGTTAGTGCAGAAAACACAAACACACTGCAGCCAATCAGGCGTGAAGCACAAACACTGAGCAATACCATGTCTTTGGTTAATATCTTATACATACGCATCACTCACTTGTTATATAACTGCATTTTGTCTCCAAGATAAGAAACATGCCTTATAGCTAATTCAATCATGGATAGGGAATGAGTTTGAATTGTTTTTTGACATCTGCTACAAACGTGAAAGTATATACTGATACATCTTAATTGTTGCTGTTGGTTAATTTAATTTTCTAAAAGAACAGCACAGAGCTCAATGGGTAAAGAAATAAGAACAGTATTGTGAATGTAGATATTCAGATTTGTGTACCTCTTGTCTAAATAAATATACTCTTTTAGGTCCATCATCACAAGCTGATGTTACATTAGCAAAATTACAGCCCACGAAACATTGGTTTAAAGTCTAGCCACAATCCAGAGGTTTCCAAAGATACCAAATATGTCAAGATGAATTACAGGGAAATGTGTCTGAATGATGGGTACGACATGTAAAAGTGGATATTACACGCAAAATATGTGTCTGCATGTGTTTGATACAGTGTCCTCCCACAGTCTGTCAGTGTACCAATGCATGATGGGATAGGTTACAGCTCCCTGCAACCATGCACAGAACACGTATTTATAATGGATGGGTGGATTTATAACGAGCAACAATAGCAACAAAAGTAGTAGATGGTGTCAGTGTGAAAAATGTTGACTTTGCTAATTAAGGGAAAATAAGGTTTAAGAAACCGTGTGAGTACCGGTAATGTCAGTACTGACCAGATGATGTCACTGGGAGCAGGTGCGTAGGTGACCCCCCATTGTTGCGACTGCACCACAGTGGTGATGCTGGACTGCTGGGGTCTGCGACGGCAGCGCACACAACCGTAGTCCTTCACAATGCTGGAAGACAACACAAGATGTACAAAAAGGGATCTGCATCAGTGCTCAGTAACGTCGGCTTTTATGCCGCTTCGTGAATTTTATGGTTGCTCCCAGATGTGACGGGGGTTTATGCGAGGAGAGGACCTGACAAACATAAACCCTGATGTCATACTGTTGTTTACTCACACAGCAGTCATCCTCTCATCGCGAAAAGTCACAAAGGCAATGCCGAGCCTCTTCATGGAGATGCGGTTCTTCTCAGCATTAAACTCGTCTGTCCTCTTTTCTTCTAACTCGCTGTAATACTGTTCTGCATCCACCTGCAGATAAAAGTTGGAGCACACATCACTCGCTGCCTCTTTCATTCTCAGAAAGATCTTCAGATTTACAGTGGCAGGATATCTTGTTGCTGCGCGTTCCTATTTCTGGATTGCAGTGCCATCCAGTGGAAACATACTTTCTGTGCAGCACAACTGAGCTACAGGTATATACAGGCAGTCGCCTACTAATCCCAATTATGCTGATAAAAAGTACCTTTTCAAAGCCACAGATGTCGCAGCAGAATATCTGAGCACATGGATGGGTCTTGATCATGATCTTCCCATCCTTTTGGGCCTTTGTGGCAAAATACAGCCTCCCTTTCATTGCCTTGCGTCTGCAAAACACAGCATCCTCAGACAAGAGCCTCACACTGATCCCCAACTGTGTTGGTCCAATCTGGAGCAGCTACTGTACCTCTCCAAGTCCAGCCTCATCAGGTTGTGGACATCAAAGCAGAATCGGATGTCGGTGACAGTGCAGCTGGGGTAGGCCTCACTAGTGAATGGAGCAAAAGGAGTTAATCGTGATGAATGTGATGAGATTGTGCAGGTACAATGGTTTTGTGACATTAATTAAACAAAAGGAGAGGATTTAACTTAACAATGAAAAAGATAAGAAAACGTGTACTGGAAGTGTTTGGTGATGAGTCCTGGGTCAGAGATCTCTCTCGGTACGGAGCTAATCATCAGTGTCCTGGCTACCTGAAACACATAACGTAATCATCACGAGAAGTCGATACAATAAGCTGATAAAAAAAAAATCGGCACCTTATTAAGAGGTATCAGCCATGCTAGTGCCGTGGTTCTATAGATGGCAATTCCGGTCTGTTTGTTTACTACGTTCAGACAAGAATATCTCAACTACTACATGAACAGAGTTAGTGCACACATTCACTGTCACTAGAGGATGAATCCTAATGACTTTGACGATCCTCTGACTTTTCATGAAATGTGAAACACACGTTCATGTTCCCCTCAGGATGAATTGTAACCACTTAGTTGACCCATTCACTTTTCATTTATTGCAACCATCACAATCTAGTTTATGAGCTAATGACCTTCCATCCAGCCTCAGCTGTATTTTTTGTTTAGCCCTAATTAGCATGCTGACACGCTAGACTAGAGAAATTGACTGAATGAAATGGATATTGTTGCAGTATAAAAATGTCCAGGCCTAAATGTTTAAACAGTATGATGTGATGGTGTCAGACCTTCTCATCTTCTCGGTACTCCAGCCGTATCAGGTGGTGAGCCATACACAGCAACGTGATGATGAAGTAGACCAGAGCCAAGATGCTGTGGAGCCACAGAAAGCTGTCCCTACGAGGCACAACAAGTGTTTAAACTAATATAGATATGGTTTCTGCGCTATTTCATGAGATGTGATGTCATTCATAAAATGTAAGACTTACTTTGCACTAACATTAGCCAGTGTTGTTCTCCCAAAGTTTTCAGGACTGTCTCCTGTAGAGATAATGAAACATGACAGAGAGCTAGACATTTTAATTTTCTCACGACTAAAAGGAAACCCCTCCTCTTTTGTCTGTAGGCAACAATGAAGCAACGTCACTATTCAGAAAAAAACCTTCCCATCTAACTTAATGATATCTTTCTCATCTCAATGACATTTCACCCAACATTCAAACATCGCGGTCATGCCTAACTCTGGTGTTTTAATTCGGGCACTCTTTGTTTGCTGTTACCATGGCATCCTGACATCGGGTGTTGGTTTATTTAATGGCTTTGGTGACACATTGGTTCATCACATGATAGCCAGCAGTAATAAAAGAAAGTGTCTGTGGACAGCCCAGCTCCTCGTAGACCCCTTTAATGACTCCTGCCTTCACCCTGTTATGGAATGGCTTACTCAACACTTTCTACAAAATAAGCACACAGCTGCCAAAAGGCATTTTTGCTGCTAGTTAGCAGCTAATTTGCTGCACGATCCCACCCTTCACACCTACATGAGTATGTTAAGAGGATATGAAGCACTTTCTATTCCTATAATCCGAGGCTTGACGCTATAAACTCCCATTTGATGAAAGGCAGCCTTTGTGTATATAAATAGTAGACCTATAGTTTCACTTCATAATCTTGTTTTACGAGTCATTTTAAGTTAAAATTACCTTTTGAGTTGATTGTAGCTTTGATCTAATTTCATGTATGCAATATACTTTTGTATAAACTCAGCTTCTCTCCCTGCGAGATGCCTCATACGACTCTCCTGAGGTTAAGGATATCCCTTGGCTTTTCAAATAGTAGGCCCACTGGACCATCATCTAAAGATAAACATACCCAGGAGGTTCCCAGAAAAGTTGACCGGCAGGATTATGGCCAAAGACAGCAGGCAAACCACTGTCATGAGCAGGATGATGTGGCGCTGGAAGGACAGGTATGTGACGGCATCAATGCCGCATTTGCTACGGATCTCGTCATCCCTGCAGAAACAGAGAGATGGGAAACTTTCAGAATCCCTGAATCACATATCCAATAGATCCCAAACGCTGTGTGCCACATGGCAAAAAGAGAGATTGTTCTTGAGGCGTCAATAATAGAACTTCCACACATGCACATGTGATGGGACACAGAGCTCTGCAATCTCAATCTGAATATGTCTGCAGCTCTGTCTATTGCCAGGACCCATCATGATTAAAACTGTGGCACCACTACTTTGGTGCCAGAAGCTGTGGTTGCCCGGCGGGAGGTTCAGGAAACCCAGTGTCACAAAATAGAGCAAAAAGAAAAGCATGAAAAAAATTAAATGCAGAAAAGAGGGACACGCTGGTCACATGGCGGCCCACACATTGCGAACTCTCAGGGTGGGTTTGCACTTTCCTACGGTGAGCCACTGGCACGGGAGCTAAAAACAGAAGCACCCAAACGCCACCATAATACCATAATACTATGGATATTTTCTAGTTGTGTGTAGTCAGACTGGAGCGAGAGCAAATATTCAACGGGAAACCACGGCACCGGCGGTCGCATGAGCCCAGACTCGTTTGTTTTTGCTGCTAAATGACATATAACAAGAGACTTTACATTTGCCGTCTGACATCAGCTTTGAAGCCAGAGGGCCAATAAAAGGATGGAAGCTAAGATGAGAGAAGTTGCAAAAATAATTACAAGGGCAACTGCTTTGTGTACTTACTTCATATGGCAAAGTGATGACAGCCACGAGCAGAAGCCCTGGAAAGAGAAGAGTATCGTAAAACATCCCATGGATTAGATATTAAAGATAATAGATGACATATGTATACAATTCTGTGCACACCACATCTGGCTGCTTGCAAGCATCCACTATTTGCATAGTAATAAGGTCTGCAGAGTGACACAGAGGGGGAGATTTAATAGGTCTAGCCTGGAGCAGTAACCACTTTACTGCAGCCTCAGCTTTGAGTAGGAAAAGGGCGATGACTCCAGTCTGACTCTTTGTCTTAAACATGCAGGGAGTGACCTCAGTCTATCACACAGGTGTCATGGAGTCACACAGTCCAGATGAGTAATGAGTCAAACTTTCCTCTTACAACAGTTGACGCAATGCCATCTTAGACAAGTGGACTTATTTGTAAAAGTGCAGTAGGCTGCATTTTTAGACATCAAGATATCATTGCTAAGTTAACTGTGACACCACGTCATAATTACTGTAAATAAAAGAGAACAGTCTATCATCAGTGGTATTGTTGATGATAGTGATGTTTCTGCATTTCCCACAATGCCTACTGTTTTATATTTTGTGCACAGAGAACTAGAGTCTGTCAGTCTGTCAGTCTCCTCAAATGCTATGTACGCCTGTTCACACATCCGGCAGACAAGGAGCAACATTAGCATTCATTCAGCATTGTGTTTGTGCCCATCCGACTACTCAAAGTCCAACATTCACTCTCCTTTTAGCTCTAGTCTCAACCAATCAAATATGTACTCCTGCTAAATGCTCCACTGCAGGTTGCTAACTGTGAGAGTGGAGCTTGAGCGCTGTGAAACCACAACAATGGGCTACAAGATAGTACGAACGCTCCATAGACCTAAAAGAATCTGCAGAGTTGGATAATCATTCTCTGTTGCCTCATCTCTGTCTGTAACCTCTTTCCCATTAGATTTAGTTATTTAATACGTTGTTAATGAAAACATACGACTACGTGCAGCTTTAAAGTAAGGCAGCAGAACCACATGGGACCAATGCAGGTTTCATCACACAGAATAGACAAATATTTTACGAGGTAAGAAATGCAATCAATATTTTGTTCGACCTTTAGGACACATGAAATGTGTTTAGTTGAGAGAGGCGTCATCTGGGTGTTTGCATAGGGTGAAGGATACCTTTAAATGATCTGAAAATGCTGTTAAGGGGTTCCTTGTTGCTTTTAGGAGTTAGGAGTAAACTCTACACCAAACACAACAAAACCTCACCATGTCCTTGGTCTCAGAGTCGGAGGGGCTGGACTCTGACGGAGACTTCTCTTTCTCACTTGGTTCTCCATAAAACAGGGATGTGAGACTGAAAAGACGAGCAAAGAAATAACAATATTGTCATTTTGATCGTGGCCTGACACGACCTTATCAATGCATCCAATATGTAATATGTCAGTACTGTAACAGTAAAGACGTAATGTAACTGCTCCAGACGGTCCCGCAGTCCCAAACTGTATACATAAAGAAGACATGGAACACATTCAGAATGGTCGAATCTAATAAAGCCAGTGTGATGATTGAATTTGTGGATATTGCTCTCTGGGCCGTACCACTGACAGTTCAACATTGTGTCAAATTAAGCAGCATAATTTAATCAGTGCGAGAGAGGGCCGCTTGGCCAAACACAGATGCTGCTCGCCCTTGGGTGTTATGAAGCCGCTGCCGGTCATGCAGAAGTAAGCAAGCCCGTACTTCACTAAAGAGGCGACTCGGGTCAAGCAGAAGAAAACTGCTGCAGACTCGCGCAGGCGGCTGGATGGTCATTGACTCATTTTGTATCCTTAAAAGGTATATGATAATTGATTACTTGTTTAAAGGGTAAGCCTGCTGATATTCTTTCGTTTTCTTACCATCAGCAAATCTAATGAAAACGCCCAAAACAACAGTGAACCATATCCTAGCCTAAGAGGCATCGTCTGGGTAGCCAATGGTTAGTCTTATGCATGTTAATTCACAGTTGAAAATGGTTCCATACATAAGCATTATTTGAGTAACATTTGCTAAAAAACTACAATGCCTTTTATAGAAAACCTGTTTACAGATTTACCTTTACTAGGAACTAGTGGACTTTGAGTGCCACAGACAGGGTAAAAAAGTATTGAGAGACAGATTACAGATACATTGTTTGTAGTGATCCTTTCGTGGGTTTTGTTGACAATGAGAAAGATACAGAATAACGAATAACGCCAGCCTTATAGCCTTGTCCTTTACGTTTTTTATCAAGGTGAATTTGCCAAACATTGGCTGGTTCAAGCCTCTAAAATGTGAGGATTTGCTGCTTTTCTTTATTCTATATTGCTGTAATTATTAGTTGTAGCCCTAATTTTAAAAGAGTAAAAAGACCATTTATCCAACCACTCTCTTACATATACTCTGTATGTGTATGTCTGATCTGGGTTAACATTTTATTTTCACTGTTAATACAAAATACATGAACACATCGCCACATTTGCATTCATCACTAAAATAACAACAAATGATTATTAGAAGCAAAGGCAGAGTAGCTCTTTGCAGTACTTTGCCTCCTACGCAGTACCATTACTACTCAGCAGAGGGAGCTGGAGGCCTCACGGTCAGGACTCAGGAGATGTTCCACAGAAAATCTTAAAATGTTGCACTGGCTCACAAACCAGAAGTGTACCAGCTGTTACGCGTGATGGATTCACCTGTCATTCTCCATCAGCAGAGCCAGGCGGCCATAGTCCCATGCAGCCTTCCTCAGACAGGAGAAGATGAGCAACAGGAACTAGAACACAGAACCAGAACATGAGTGCGTGAAGCTGCTGAGAATCTGATTTACACAATCGCACACACACACTCATCTGCTCTGGGCCTTATCCAAAACCTTTCCATGCTGCACGTTCATAAGGAGCCTACACATAATAGACAGGTTCAAAATGCAGCAGCAATAATGAGCCGTCGTCTTTCTTTAGAGTGGTACGTGGTTGTCTTGGAAACTACCAGAGACAGGTGAGCATGCACACACGAACACATGCTACAGCCAAATGAGTGTGGTCAATAGCAAGAATAAATATTAATAGCCTCTATTCAGCCATAAATGGAGAGCTAAAGTGTAGCATCACAATGAAGTAAAAAAGAAAAGAAGCCTGTTCAATGATATATTATAGTACCCAATAGTGAATCCATGCTTAACAACTCTGGTTGAATATAAAGAGCTGAACTGGGCTATGATGGATGAATGTTGAAAAATACAAAACAGATCATTAAACCATTAATTTATTTGAGTTTAAAAGACATTTGGTTTCGTGGACAAGGACGACAGCAATGTTAATAAGAAAAAAGCCCCCATTAAGGATTCATTCTTTAGTGATCTAGAGCCACGCAGAGACAATCAAGGCAGCCTTGACTGAGGCTTGTAGCTGAATAATGAGTGCATGTTCACATTAACAGTCAGGGTCCAAACTCCTTCTTTGAATAAAAATCCCTCCATTATCTCGCTCTTTTCCCAGTGTCTGTCTCCTCCCTGTTGTTTTGGTTTGTTTGGTCTCGATGCGTGGGCATGCTCTCCTTCAGTCCCACAGATGATTCATTATTATTCTGTATGATGATAGAATTAATGCAGAGGCGTCCTCCCGTCACCTGGGGTGGGGATGCACGCTTTGACTCATGCTTGTCATTAAGAGACAGCAGTCAACCCTCTGTGTTGTCTTGACAACTAGGCAGCGATAAAATGAGCCAATTAAAACACGGAGGTGGCAGATTGAGAGTGACATCAGTGCAGAGATTAAGCTTGACAAGGCCTGACAATATGCAATTATGTTCGTAAACAGTGTACACACTGTATTATGCTATGTGAGGGGAAAATTCATTGCAGATTTAATGCAGTTTGATATCTATGACATGCACATAATGTGTGCATTTGTGTGTGTGTGTGTGTGTGTGTGTGTGTGTGTGTGTGTGTACTTGTGCATCACAACGAGATCCAAATGCCTTGATGTAAAAAAAGTGATCCAATCCATTTTGCAAGGCAATGGCAACGCTCACACCTATAGGAGCAGCATAAAGTCTCAAAGTTTACCTAACCACATCTCGTTATCTGTCGAGGGAATGCAACACATTTATAAATGTCATATTCAATTTCATATGGAGGAAACCCATGCAGGGGATGAAGTGCGTGAAAACCTCCAGAAAGAAAGGCCCCAGCTGTGTGACCCCAGGGGCTTGTTTTTGTGTGGTGACAGTGCGAATCACTTCACCAACTAGGACTGTATATGACACTTGCGATACTAAAGTCCCAGTTTACATTTTTAGTTTGTTTGCTTATCATAATTGAAGATAGACTAGTGAAGGGGTTCTAAAGTGATAGCGGAAAGCAAGATGGGCCTGGGTTCGATCCCGGGCTAGCCGGCCTGTCTGTGTGGAGTAAATTGGCCGTAGGAGTGAATGTGAGCATGAATGGTTGTCTGTCTTTATGCGTCCTGTGATAGTCTGGCGATCTGTCCAGGGTGTACCTTGCCTTCGCCCAATATCAGCTGCGATAAGTGGTTAAATATAATGGATGGGTGGGTGGGTGTGAGTCAGTACCATCCATAGCACGGCATTGATGGCGAGGACCGTGGGCACTCCTCCAAACGGCAGACCCTGGAGGACGCTGCTGCGGGAGTGCGAGCGGTAGCATCTGTCCGCAGTGCTGTTTTCTTCCCCAAAAGAATCCAGGAAGCTGAGAACATCCAGCGCCACAGCTGTCCCCTCCACAGGGGAAGCTTTTGTCACTAACAGCTCAGAGTGCGCCATCAGCACTGGACCATACCTGAAGAAAAGATGAAAGAAAGTGGTCATTAGCCAAGCTGTTAGATTTACTGTTCTCTCTCTCTCTTTAAGCCTTGATACACACCTGTTGAAGCTCCCAGATGATTGGGCTTTACACTCTGTGATTCATAATGTAATCACATTGGGTTAATTGATAATTACGACAATGTCTGTAATAATGCAATGATTGTTTGTTGAGATTGAAGTGACACTTTTGCTTTACCTTTTGCTAAGCTGCTGCGGCTAGTTTATCTAACCTACTGTTTAGCATTTAGCTAAAACACTAAGCTACTTCTACTTAGCATAAGAGGAGGAAAGCAGCAAAAAATAACAATGTTGTTTAAAGTTTGCCGGCCCGGCTGGGTCAACAAAGCAAGGAGAAGCTCTGGTTACATCACACAGAGGGAGAGTGACTTAATTCTCTGCTGAGACATTATATCCACTATATCTTTACAAATATAAAGCTGTTTAATGCTATATTAATGGCCTGATTTCAGAATATTGCACCTTTAACATACAATTGTTGTGACTCATTTTTCTCAGACAAGTACCTGCCACTCACTAAGTGCAGTATTGATAGCATTTGCAAGGATCAGTCTAATGACCATCACAGTCCATTAGCTGCTATTGACCACCGTGTCCGTTTCTTTATCTGACAAATGGAAGTGGAGACCTCACATGAAAGCGACATGCTGATTGGATGACACTGCAGGATCTGTGAAAAACCCCAATATGTGTCAGGAAGATGCCCATTTAACCATTTAACCACGTAGGCAAAAGCATATTTCTGTTGTGAGAACTCAGTTTAACAGTACAAGAGTAAAAGCTTAAACTGTTTACTCCACTGCAATTTTAAACAGCTTGTTGAGGATTGGCAGTTTAATGCGTATCCCCTTGTCTACAGAGGCATGTGCAGAATATGATCATTCACTGCCATGGCCACAGAATGGACGCCTGAACCATCTGTCCTCCAGCAGCACACACTCTTCACACGTTCGATCGATACACTCCAGAGTCCCAGCTGCTCGGCTTGTGTACACTCCTCACCGAATAAACAGTCGGAGGAAATGGAGCAGCAACAGAGTGCTGATAAAGCTTTGCATCAATACAGCGAGTGAAAGACATCAATCATCGGATTTCATGGGAAAAGAAGTAAGACTCCATGATATTTTGAGAGACTGCTGTGACAGGAAACACGGTAGTAAACAAACCGTGTGCTACGCAGCAGTAAATGGCAGCCAAAGCTGCATCACAACCCTCCGCCGTCCAACTTTCACAAGAGATGTGAGGTAATACGAGATTGAAGTGAAAAAAGCTAGAGGAAGCTAAAGGCCTCCAAACTGGCACACATTGCTGATCCCAATGTGTGATTTATCACCGCGCCAATGATGTCACTTCCTGAGAAGTCTTGTGAGGCATTTACCAAACGGCACTTATTGAAGCCACAGCAGGATGTCTGGTGTAGGAGGGCGAGCTGATCAATGGCAGTGCTGCTGGACTTCTGTACATCACACTGTCAGAGAGGTCTGGAGATTTAGTTTAAAAATAAAACCCAGTAATCTTTTTGCAGCTCTTTCTGCACCGTTGTAGTCTCTTATACTTTCTTTTGTGAAACTGTATAGCTTGCAGTCAATATTCAGATGCTGTCAGCATCTAAGCCTCCCTGTGGAGACAACTGGGGAGGAGATCTCCTGAGGATGGACCACAAAGCAAATCCATAATGTACACACACATGCAGTCTGCAGTGCTGTGTTTCCACAGAAGCTGAGGTTTCACGCTTTCTCTCTCTGCCAATAAATAAGCCAGCGATATGCACAAAAAGATTATTTTACATTTAATTCACTGGATCGTTAATATCTTACAGTAATTAAATGATGTTCTGTCACATTTTCAAATAAATTGATTGAGTGCTTTACAGGAGATGTTGAAGTCGTGGGATCAATACAACAATAAATCAAGTAAAGTAGTTTTTATTTAGATAAAAGGCGTTGCTTGTGATAACACTATGGTGATACTGTTTGCAGCATTTGCCTGTTCTGTGATTAATTCAATCGTCATGTTGAAAAGCCAAAAATGGAAAGCTGCAGGAATAAGTAAACTGTTCTGTGCCTATCATTATACTACTGTGATGAGCTAATGGCAGCAAACAAATCAAAGAGGAATTGTGTGAACTGTGACATACAGCAACAGGAGCTGAATCAAACAGAATTGATGCCTTAAATGGAAGAAAATACAACTAGCTGTAAACTGGAGCTCTGACAAAATTTGACATGCAGAAGCGTAAACAGACCTTCATCGTCTCATTGCTGTTCTTCCTCCTGCATCAGACGAGTCATTCACTTTGAGCGCTGCTCGCTGCTGATGCTAACAGTTAAACTCTTCCTCTCCACCTCCAGAACAGAGCAGGATGCTGAAGGATACAGGCTGGCTGTGGTGTGGTTTCACACAACATTTGGACAAACGTCACAGCATGACTCGGCAGTTTAACAACAAGACTCCGTGGATAATATTTCTGTCTCACCCATCGTATATAAACACACAAACATGCTCACAGTTATCCCATGGTATCCATTTCGTCTCAAGCTTATTGAACTCTGCAAATCGGAAGTCTTTCTAATCCTTTCCCTCTGCTCATTTCTCTCCTCCTCATCCCTGACTCAAGCTTCCAAGCCAACGCAGCAGATTACAAAATGATGTTTGGCTTGGTTGGCAGCAGCGTTGTGCCTCCCGCTGGCAGCACGAGTGAAATCTCTCCTCTGTGCTCAGTTAGACTATTACGATCACAGATGCTGAAGTCAGTACAGGAGCTGCGAGCTGGTGATGAAATAACTGAGTTTTGAGTCAGAGAAGCAGAAAAAGAGAGCAAAAAGCTAGCTCAGGTCAGCTAATCAGCTCATTGTGCCAGAAAAAACAGCTGAGGTATCTGTGTATGTGTGTGTGTGTGTGTGTGTGTGTGTGTGTGTGTGTGTGTGTGTGTGTGAGAGAGAGGATGCCATCCTTGACGTTTTACAGACAAAAAGTCAGAAGGTTGATAACTCGCAATAAACCCTGATTCAATCCAGATATATTTCATCACTCCCTCCCTCATATTGATTAAATCAGCTTCTGCTGTAGCCTTACTGTAAATTGTTTAAAAGCATCATTATTTGGGTGGTGTCACTAACTGAAACTACTTGTCACCAGCTTAACACATAAAGAGAAAGAAACAGACTACTAGAGTCTACAGCTACCAGTTCTGTGAGGTTGCACTTTGGCACAGACTCTGAGCAAAATGACAACATGCTGACAATGACAATAAAAAAAGTTGCTGATCTCCAGCAGGTCTAATATGTAAGATGGTCACCATCTCAATTTAGCATTCCAACAAAAGCAAATTAGTACTATGTATACAAAATACGGCTGGGGATGATGGGAATGTCATTCGTTTTGAAGGTATTTAGTCCTATTTAATTTTGACCTGATAATGGCGCTAAATTAATTAATAAATTAAGTTATTAAAATGTGGATATAAATGTCTGTACCATATTCTGACCATCCATCTGGTGGTTTTTGAGACATTTAACTAAAAACCACAAAAAGTGAACCTCATGGCGGTGCTACAGGATTCATCATCTTGGCACCATGGACTTCTGTAACCGTGTCATTAAAAAATAGCAGCTGGTGCTCAAGAAAAAGACAGGGAGTTGCCGAAGTCAGTGAAATCGATCCTCTGGGGTATTACTGTACAAAAAATTCATGACATTGCATTCAATAGTTATTGAGATATTTCAGTCTATAGACCAAAGTGCTGGACTGACCGACATTGCCCTTCATGGCTTAAAACACTGGGGAAACAGAGGAGGATGGTATGTTGGGACTACAGATGAAAAATAGCCTTTTGGCTAACTCTGGCGCATTTTGCAGAAATGTTTTATTAATGTGCACTGTCCCGTATCAAATAAACCAATAAATTATGTGTGTTGGCATCCACTACTCACATGTATTATCCTTTAAATCACTTTACCAGACCCCTCAAGTGCTCTGTCATGCTGAAATCAGAAGCTGAATCTATGTTTCCATAAACAAATGAAAACTCGTTACATCCAAACATGTCTTACAGGGGTTGGGTGCTGTTCCCAGCTGCACCAGAACCTAATAATCACCATAAAGCATTTGGTGGACAGCCCCCCGGAAGAGCTTTCTCTCTCATCATCAAACATTCAGTTGCACCAAGATTCATTGCCTGCCTGAGGGAATGAGAGAAATTACCCTGTTTTGTCAGAGAGATGAACCATAAATAAAATGTGAAGTTGTGCTGACTTCTAAACCTCTGCACCGTATCAACTGTCAGCTACTGTGAGATAAGACTACCTCCAAGGAGAACCCGCAATCACCATAAATAAAAGAGTAACGGTTTCAGAGCTGTTGTTCTCTCCTTGACTGCAGCCTTGTTGAACATGCAGTTTTCCCATGCCACGATACCTGCATGGCAGTGAGAGGTTTGACGTTTCTCCTGTCAACAGCTTCATCTCAAAGGCTCAGAGCCGGTAAATTATTCATGAGCGATTGTTAGCTGTGCTCTGCATGTTAATCTAAAACTGGGCCGCTGATTATGGAAATCCTGGTGTTTAAAAGGGTATTCTGTAGAAACAATCCTTCTCTAATGAACTGTGAACAAGCCAATACAACACGAGTCATGACATGAGATGACACATTGTGGAAGCAGATCTATTACAGTATCACTTGCAGTATGCTGAGAGGCATGGGAGCATACTAAGAAGGCAACAGTGGGTAGACAAAATAATGTAAACACTTCTTGACTTGAAGAATGTCGGCTTTAAAGATGTCTTGTCACACCAGAGTTGACGGCGTATTTGCTGTGATGAGACCAGCTTATCAATGCTCCCATTCACTGTACATGAACTACACGGCAAGCAGGGACACCTGAACATTACATCTCATTATATAGCTCTGATCACTAATACGTTGCCTCCACTCTTCTGGGAAGGCTTTCTGATACAGGTATTTGCACCTTTGCCACAAACACACCAGTGAGTGAAAATTTTGCTTGAAATATAATTCTATGCCGTAGCATCAAGACTTATTTTCCCTGAATTGACACTGAGGAGCCCGAACCATGAATATGAGCCCCAGTTTGTGGACAGAAACGTCCACATGCTTTTTTTTTTATAGAGCATCTTCTTCTATAGTGTATCTTCTGTAGTTTGTTGGGACATTTTAATGGGGATGCCATGTGTGTGTGCATCTTATTTTCAACTCTACAGGAGCTACAGGCCCCTGCTGTGATGGTTTTAGTTGGAGGGTGGTGTTGGGGGGTGTGGATGGGCAACCCTCATCAGACTTAGCCTGAGGGGGGAGAGGGGGCGGAGGTAATCACAATCTGCTCACCACCTGCTCAGCGGAAGAGGGAGGAGTCTTTACTCTTTTCATACCTCACTCTCTCTATCACACAACACACAAACACAGATCACCGAGGTGTGTCTGCACAGGGCTCACAGATTTTGCAGCATCCCCCAACCAGCCTCTTTCTGAAGGCTGAATGAGCCATAGCATGACTGGAGTGATGACTGCACACACGGGCGGTGATCAACAAACCAAACACCTGCTTCCTGTCTGGCTGCACATGCTCAGTAGGCCCCCAGGGGAGCGCTGTCTGTCTGCACTTCAGTACAACATGTGTCCTGGATGAACCCGACTCATAACAAATAACCACAGAACAATCTGTTTTCTCTGCAACTCAGAGCTTCTTGAGGATTCCACCCACAGCCTCTTATACTGCTGAAGCTGATCAAAGGGCCTGAGAGACCTGAGAGTCTAAATTACCTTCACTCCCACATCTACAAAAACTGCTCATTTTAACAGATGCCTTCAGATAGATGCCTACTTTTGGTGGGCATTTCAAACATATTTAAAAGGAGTACACTACAAATCAAAATAAGCAAAACCACCAGTGTCATCATGTATAAATAACATCTTGATCTGGATCACAGCCAACCAGAAGAGTGCTCATATCACAACATCTAATACATACAGGATATCTATTGCTACAAAAAGAGGTCCTGGTATATCAGATGGGACAACTTGTCTTCATATAGTCAGCATAACATGTGTGACAAGTGAGAGGACAAGATAGTGTGACATCTGTGAATATCTTATGTTCCATGCTTATTGGTGTTTTTATTGTTTGTTTATTCTGTGCAACTGGAGCTGTCTACCTGCTCAAGGTGCTAAATAAACACAGACAGAAACAAACCAACCAAAATAAAGAAAATCCATGGCGAGAGGCTTACGCATGATTCTCTCATACGGTGCCACGGTCTATCATCAGCCTGTTCAGCAGTTGTACAGGTAATCCATCTCTACTGCAATCTCAGTTTAGTTTATCCTAATAATCGAAGATGATCAGCATTCATTTGCTCTCTAATCTTGGAAAATGTACTATGCACTCTCATTCTCTGTGGATCTCATTTTAAAGTGATAGCGCACTGAAAATCTTTTCATTATTAAACACTCAATATAAGTGAACTCCTGCACACTATCAACACTTCATTCTGGTAGAAGACTTTTTAAAGGCATTACAATTTGGAAAAAATAGTATACTTAAGCCTCAGAGTGAACAAGACAATCAAAAGGAGTCAAGCCACAAACACCTGAGTCAATTCCACTTTCAATAAAATACTAACATTTAATATTATGCAGGGGTTTAGGGAGGGTTATTAAAGATGCACCACTTGTTTGATTAAAAGGGTGTGGTAAAACAAGTTGTAGGAACAGTTCCAATATATTCCAATGGTGACCAGTTTTCAAAAACTACCATTTTCATTAATGACTTTCCCTGAAATCCTTCTTGAAATGTCTTGTCCTTAAAAGCACAACATCTCTATTCATGACAATTCATAAGCCTGGAACATGACAGATCTCTCTGATTAATAAACAACTGACATCTTCGATTTCATTTAACCTCCAATCTGATGAGCTGTTTGTTTACGGACCTCATTGAAATACAATTAGGTACCTTAAATCACTTTTCACCCTTTTCCACATGCATGAAATATTTTTTTTCAAACGCTTTCAAATGCTATGCACGGATGACCCGCTAAAATGTCAAAAACCCATTAGAAATCTGACATTTCAAAGGCCACTTCCCTTCACCACAGTCAGGTGTAAATCCTTTTAGTGTAAATCCAACAGAAAAACAGCAACAACAACAGGCTACAGCAGAGAGAGAGAGAATAAACAGAGAGAGAGAGAGAGAGAGAGAGAGAGAGAGAGAGAGAGAGAGAATAAAGCATGGTCACAGCATGGCTGTAACCCTAAAGATTTCTTATGCACTATTATTACTATTATTACAGTTGGGAGTTAAGGTTGCTCATTAACGGTCTCCCACCCATTTTACTCAATTAGGAACAATAGATGTAGAGCGAAGATCTGTTTTGGGTGTAATAGCCTGACACGTTGGCAGAAACATCTTCATCCCGAATAACCAATAACAACACGGTGCTATAGTGCAGGGAGCCTTTGGACGTTTAGACTCAATTCTGACATCGTATTGTCATAACTGAAAGAAAATGTGCCTCTCTCTCTCTCTACAATCAGACACATTTCGGCGACTGTGTTGGCCCGCTTACTGCGGCACTCACAACAGTCTGCACTCCTTCCTCCTCCTCCAGCTCTGTAACTTGATGGAAACGATTGAACGATTAAACCCTTCCAGTCCACGTTTAGATCACCACACGGATACATTACTTTTTTTTTTTTTTTTTTAAATCACATCGCTCACCTCAGAAAGCTTCCGGATCGCTGGTGTCTGGTGTTGATGGGTGCTGCTTTGTTTTTTTTCCTCCAACACCAAGAAACAAGAGAAACTCCCACCTACTCAGGGGCCGTCTGACAATTAAACACCTGCCTTGAAGGCTGCTAAGGGAGCGTCAAGTAAACACCTATAGATTGTTGTCGTCTCTATTTTTAGGATATACTATATAATTATTAGTTATCATTATACAACCATTTTGCTGATGTAATTATTGTTATATCTCTAAAGCTAAACGATACCAGCAGAATAACTGAGACAACACAAGGTAAGTAAAATATAATACATCTATATCCCTAATGTGACAGCACTCTAAAAGGTAATATAATTGAGGATGCATTGCCACCTACTCGAAAAAAAATGTTCATGCATTGTGTCAACCTTTTAGCCCTATTAGCCCAGACAGACCAAACAAATCTATTTTCTAACCCACCTTGCCTTAACTTTAGAGTTCATGAGCCAACTAAAAGCAACAGCAAATGCATGGATAATAATATCAACATAATAACTAAAAGTACAGCACTCATATAGACCTAAGTATTATCAAATGTAAGCTACATTTATTAAAAGTATTTTAAGGATATTTTGCTAATAACACTGATAATACTTACTTATTAAGTGGCAGATTTATTGTATTTTAATTTTTGTATTGCTATTTTAACTGGGGTAAATGTTTGGAATGCCTCCTCCACTGCCAACAATCAAATTTCAATAATGTACAAAAAAAATGATCAATGCCATATAAATGCCATATTTTCACACAACTTCTCCTACGTCAGATTTGGGCTGTTACTATAACCAGTAAGCTACCCAGCCAATTAAAAGGAAGGAAAAACAGACGCATCCAGACCAGCAGGCGGCGGTAGAGAAAGGAGCTGACACCCCAATAATAAAAAAAGGACGTCGATGTGGATCAACATGACCTTCTCTGCGTTTGAATGAGCGTGCTCTGAGCCGAGGCTCCGCGGTGCTGAAAGGACAGCTCCTCCGCTCTCTGACATCTGCAGGTAGGCAGCCTGGACACCACGAGGGGTGACTCTTTTAATTGTGTCGTCATGGGAATTAAATGATTGACGCCATCAGTGGCACCGTCTGAGAAAACACGAAGGAGAGGAAACCGCGATAGAGTGCTGTGTATGCTCTCCGTTATCTAGGGCATTGATCGACCTACAGTAACGCTTCCCACCATTTTCATAAACTAACATCAACATTCATTTTTAGGTTTGGTCTGTGGGGGGCCCTTCCTTCCTTCTGTATGTGCTTTGATTCTCTGTGATTTGCTCATCCGTTAGTGCTGTAGCTACCTTAGAAGATCACAGAGAAAAAAAGGTGAGATATTTTTAGTATTCTCAGTGGCCCCTTAGAGTCCCTAGACCCTACTTTTCAGAGAAATTAGTTTTCTCAGCAGCAGACTTACATTCTCTTTATCAAATGAGCAGCCAGAGAACACATTTTTATGAGCTACGTGACCTTATAGGGTGTGCGCTACTTTCACTAAGACGCTTCATGTAAATAGTCCTCTGTAATGTGCTCCATCAGAACTGTTAAAGCAATTTGTAAGAGCATAACAAGAAAAGAAGATATGTTGTAATAAAGTATATTATAATGTACATAACAAGTATAATTATTTGCTGTTGGGAATGTTATTATACGTTCTATACAATATTATGTATTAAATAATAACGTAGACAAGACAACTTTTCATTTTTCAAAGTAAACTTTTGAAATGGAGATTTATTTTGTGTCAAACTGCTGCGACACAATCGCTCCTCTGAGGCTCTGATAACATTCTGCTTACTGTGTCTTCACTCTCACACAGATATGTTCACCAGGATGTTAAAACTGAGGCTTCTCAATGCTGTAGCGCCTGCCTACTTCTTCATAGCTACAGCGGTCACCTTCATTTTACACTTCTGCTTCTTCATCCCAACAATCTTCCCAAACCTGAGGGCGTCTATGGCTCTTCACACAGTTGTTTTCCTCTTCTTGATGTTCAACGCACTAGGAAACTACATAATGACTATTAAATATCCTGCTGAAAGCGCCAACGAGAACGTGGTTCCGGTGTGTTCGGCGCACTGCTCGGACAAAGTGGACGCACACTACCTCCTGAACGGTCGCCACTTCTGCAAACTGTGTAAGAAAGTCATCCTTAAGAGGGATCACCACTGCTTTTTTACTGGAAACTGCATTGGCAACAAAAACATGCGCTACTTCATCATGTTCTGCATTTACACATCGTGCACTTGTTTGTACTCGTTGGTTCTTGGTGTGGCCTTTCTAACAGTGGAGTTCTCCATCTCCTTTGAGAACCCGCTGACCTTCCTGACTCTTCTCCCCCTCTCCACTAGTTACTTCTTCACAGGTGACTTGATCAATTATTTCAACTAAAGCTAATAATCCAAGATACATGTTGACTTACTGAGCAGTACGATTTTCCTTTATTAATTCTTTCCCACAGGAACAATCTCCGGCTTGCAGTTATTCCTGGTGCTGATGCTCTACGTGTGGCTGGGCATCGGCCTGGTCTGTGCAGGCTTCTGTTGCCAGCAGGTGCTGCTGGTGGCCCGGGGACAGACCTGGTGTCAGATGCAGAGGGGGCAGCTCGTGGAGAACCGCAGCCCTTGGAGAAACAACCTTAAGGATGTGTTCGGTACCCGCTGGATCCTTGGCCTTATCCTGCCTGTGCAGACTGCGGAGACAGGCTCTGAAGACACAGATGCACATAAGCAAGACTGAGTGATAACCACGTCATAAAAAAGCTCCCAATAGGTCACACAAGTGGCACAAGTTGTAGGAAAGGCTTTGTTGGGATCCATGTGGTGATTGATTTGAAATACTAAATGGATGCTTTATGACCTTCGCAGTAGTTTATGAATTTGTTGGCTGTTAGCACACATTCCTTTAAGGACAGGAGCCATATATCAATGTGAAACTTTTGAATAGGTGCATAGTGTAAGTGTATCCTTTAAGTAAGTAGCTTTTGACAAGGCAATATTAAGACTAATAAGTTGGTCGTTTGGGACATTCATCAGTTTTACATGCACCGCTACACACTTGCATCATCATATAAAGATGGCTTTGCATAAGTGCATGCATTCCCCGCTTTACATTTTTATATCACGCTCTCGATTTGAAGGCCTGCACCACACGGTGCTTTGAGATTACCAATCAAGTGTGTTGTTCTTTGTAGAATGTGACATTCAGGAAACGTGGGGTAGTTTTCACAACAATAATTTACTTTGACATTAAGGGCTAGGAGACAAGGAAACTACAGTATGTGTCTACAGCATAAACTGCCGGGCTTGACACCATTGTTTTGACAAGGAACTGTCACATGTTGAGACAGATTTTTACTAAAATGAATGTGACTCAGACAGTGCAGTGATCTGCTCCTTTATAATAATGGGTGGGGGAAATGTAAAGATTACCATAGTATTATATCCAGGGTATTATTCACAATGTGCCATAAACATGTCTTATATGCTTACAGATGACCCCAAAGATGATGTATTCACTACACTGCTAATGATAGGGTCCTCTGTTTAATAAAGATAATAATAATGTTAATAATAAGGACTTTTCACTGTAAGGCTGCTGCTACTGACGTATTCAACATCGTGTCAAAGCTGTTTTGGATTTCAACAAATGTACTTTTTAGAGCTATTTTGTCTATTCCTGTTATACCAATAAAAGTATTTAAATCTCAACAGACGTTCTGTGTTTTTAAAAACTACACATTCTGAGATAGGAAAGTGAAATCAATGACTGAGAGGAAATGGTCTTCAAACAGAGTTTTATGACAGTCCATTATCAGTCAAAGTTTTGCTAAATTAAACACAGAAAGCCCTTTTCACAATAATAGGAAAAAAAGCAATCTCTGAATAGTAATCCTAAAATGTTGTTTGTAATCCTCCTTTTGCCCATTTTACAACTAAGGCTAGTTTGATTATTTCTTAGTTTTATACTTGTGATTAGAAGATATTGCAACGGCAGCATATTTTTGCTAAAATAAATAATACAACAGTTAACTCAACTTAACATTTAAAACTGAAACATTAATGACTTAACTTGTCTTCATGTTGTTCTCATTAACTCTGGACTTATCATCTAGCCAGGACATGGTTTGTTTTGTTTCAGATATGAATATCAAATCTTTGGAAACCTTAAAGTACATTCAACTTTCTTCCACATGAAGCTCACAATTTAAGCTGCTCAGTGAAGTGCAAACATGAATCATATTTAAAAAGGCACAGGCATCCAAATAAACATGTATATTCACGTTGGTTTACAAATAAATAAATAGTAGTGACTCGGAAGTAATAAAATTATATAAAAAAAAGGAAACAATGTTATGGTTTTGCCAGCCATCAGAACGCTCACTGAGCTACCAAGCTGGTGTTTGAGAATACAAGCTGTTGGTATATGTACTTCCTCACAAAGGAGTAATCTGCTTATTCACTTTCATTTCACATCCAATTTAAAAACAAGGTAAATGGACACAATATTGTCCTGTTGATTAAAGATGTCAGTAAAGAGGAAATTGAAACACAGGCCAAATGTATCCACACCAGGTTTAGAAATGACTGTTATATTTTCTCTACAGCCATCCCATTCAGGGCATGCATAAAGAAGTAACCCCATGTGCCTTCATATGTAATGTATACTTACTATACGTCCTATTTTGATAAAGCAGAGGCAAGAAAATTAATTATAGGCCAGGGTTTGAAATGTAAGCATGCTACTTAACTCCCACTTGGTTTTCATATGTGCTTCTGCTTCATATTAGACCAGCAGTTCTGAATGTTTAGATGATTACTGTCCTGCCTGAAAGTATAGTTTAGTTATGTTATTGCTTTTTTATGTATAATGCTAGATATTGTAACTAGACTATTTTACACAAAGACAGCTTTAGTTAGACAGATTTGAGATGTATATTTTCACATTCAATAAATCATCTTGTGACCCTCTGATTGAGAACCGCTGGTCATGTCCATCACTACATTACACCAGGACTCTCTGAGCTTTGGCTCCACATTGCTCCTTGTCTGTGTGCCGCAGAGAGAGGTGCAGTTTAGTCCAGAGATGCGGGTCTCCGCTGCTCTGAGCCTCCAGCAGCAGAACCGTTTGCTCCTGGAGCTGCTGCAGCTGGCCTTGGGTGCGCTTATTCTCCTTGATCAGCTGCTGTGTGCGCATGGTGATCCCCAGCAAGCCAGATTTGTTGAGAATGTTGTAGGTATTACTGAAACGTTTCAGTTTGTTAACGTCCATTGAGAGTGCGTCGTCCTGGTCAGCATCCGTCCTGTTGCTGTCAATGTCTGTCATGAAGTCATCCGTGTAGGGGAGCGGAGAGTTGCTCCCTGTCAGCTCGGAGAGAGACTCATCACTGTCCTGACTCTCAGCTGCCTGTGACTGGTTGTTTGCTGCTTCAAAGCTTGAGATGGATTTGATTGTAGTCTGCAGTGCTGGCTGCAGGCTGGGGGAGCTGTAGAGCCTGTGGCCATGGTGGCGCCTCTTCTGTCGATGGTCATGTCCTGATGTTGAACTCACCCTCACCTTGGAGGATCCCACCCTCTTAGTGGGCTTGTCTGATGGGTGTGGGGCGATTTTGGGATATGACTTGAGGATGGGCATGTAGCTTTTTGATTGTCGGATACTTTCAGAACCCGTGTTTGAGGAGCTGCTGCTACCATTTGATACCATGGTTTGAAGGAGAACCATCTGTGACTGAGGCATCACTTCCAAGGGTGAAGGAAAGCCCCACTGTTTTTCTGCTGGAGCCATCGCGGATGACTAGAGGTAAAAAAACAACTTTAAATAGCATGTTTCAACCTATAGTGCAAAACATATACTACAGTACTTAAATACAAGGAGCATACATAAAATGAACAAACATATAATGGTGAAATCACAATGTACAAAAAAGACTTTACATTTGCACTCTTAGCCAAAGGTGATTTCACCCTGAATTGACAATAAAGCCCTGGATTAGTGCTAGGCAGAGGTAGACACACCATTGCTGTGTTTTACCTGCTTTAATACAAAGTTATTCATGATGATCATTGGAGAGAGTCCAGCATATGAGCCTTCCATCACAACCATCTGCGGACCAATCGGGTCCTGGCCGACTATGGACCCATTCCTTCTTGCATCTTCAGATTCAGTCAGATCGACTGTACTAAGGTGCTCAGAGCTGGCATCTGAGAAAAGGGGGAGACAAGCATATGGGTCATGTCAGGTTTAAAAGCAAGGTATTTACCTCTCTATTGTGTACAGTCCCTGGAGCAGAACATTAGTACTATGAAAACAGTGGCAGATGTAGATAAGCGTCTCCAGAGTGTCTGGAAAAGGATATCCATCAACATGATGAGGAGGGCTTAACCAGATCTAGGTCAGTCTTAATAGTGAATAGAATAAAAGTCATATGAAAAATTAACCCAATACAGGATACCCTCCATAGAAAATGTGACCTAGATCCCTACATTTGCTTATGGCTGACCCTGTTGATAGTCATTTATTTCTAATTATGGAATTGCTAATTATATACGGGTACACTCAGTTTACTACACGTGCCACACTGGCAACACTACTATGTCAAAATAAAACATACATCTGGACAAACCCCAAACCTAAAGGTGTATAACTATAGAGTAACATCATTTAATCAAACCTGAGAACCCCGAATCTCTCTCCAGGTCAGACTTGGATGCTCCAAAGTGTGTTGCCCTGGTGAATGACGGTGTCCTGTGTCTGTCGGGGCGACTAAAACTGCTCATGTTTGCCTGGAAAAATGGAGAGTTAAGAGTTGGAACGTAACTGACACGCTCAACACATGGCTTTGACAGAGTTCAATGTGCTTTTGCCTTAAGTTATGATTACGCAATGGCAAAGTAAAAAAAACATTAGGTTGGTCAACGCTAGACTCCAATTGAGACTGAAAAAAGTGAAGAGACACAGTCAACTTGTAAACACACAGTTTACATAGTTTGTGCATTTGTTTTTACACTCCATTACTTTTTATTGCTATATTTTAATGTCTTGATGGCAGATCATTGTTCACTTCAGTTTGTTGTGGAGGAAATTTCCCTGACTGAATTAGACAATACAAGAGAAAAACTTGCACACGCCTACAAATAGGATGTTGTGTTTTTGACATTAAACATTAAAATATTCAACATCGTAATATTAGATTACATTCTTATAAACGTTGTGTCCATTTATTGAATGGAGCTTGACGTTTAAGAGGCCTGTACCCCCCACATAGCCAGTTTAATTACACAGCTACTGTAAGACATGCTGTAAGACATACCGACGTTGCTCAAAGTGTGTTAGCGAATAAAAGATGCCAATGCCGACAATAAATATGATAACCTGGGAGTCTATTTACAACGTCTTAATAATGCAGCTCACACTTGCTTTTTATTCTTCTTTTTTTTTAAATACCATACACCATTTAACTTTAACTGATTTAGATAAATACCCTGCTTCTGCAAAAAAAAAAATGTTGGTATGTGAGATGCAATATTATCAGTTATATCTGTGTTCACTGTTTACTGTCCTGCCCCTGGGCTGCTAGCTCAGTTAGCTCAGTTAGCTGCTAGGTAACGCTAGCCAGCACAGCTGCAGCTTGGCAACCAGCCCATCACGAGACCGTTGATGGGATACTTGGCTAAAAGTCTGAACTTACACACCTTATCAATACGCCCTTTGCTTGAAAACAAATATCCGTTTATACTGGCATCCAAGATTGGTTACAACGTTAGTGTGTTTTTCCTACAATTGTACTGGACTCTGGTTGAGCTTCTTCTACTTCATTGAGGTTTAACGACAGCTTGCATCCTTACTCTCGCATTACTGCCATCTTCTGGAGTTACTAAGTGTCCTGATGGTCCGATTTTCCTCATCTATCCTGTTCTCATTAGGAAGCTATACAAACATATCCTGCAGTCACAAGCGGGGGCTTAAAGGGAGAATATATATGTGTATATAATTATATTTTAATTATTATACATAATAGAAATGGGGGAAAGAGAGAGAGAGAGAGAGAGAGAGAGAGAGAGAGAGAGAGAGAGAGACAGATGGAGGAACGAAAGAAAAGAACAGTTTGGAGAGCTCTATCATTTTAAAATGTAGGTCTGCCTGCAAATATTTGCTTATAAAATGCATATATTAGAATTCTGCAGGGGTCACATAAATATGGGCCTACATTAACATAATAACCAATAAATAACACTTACACATGGGAGTTGCATATCTGACGGCAGTGCTCGCAGCGCATGTTACAAGAGCAGAAGGGATGGCTTTGAATGCTTTTTTCTTGTTAATATAAACCATGTGATCCACAATAAAAACATTAGTGCTCTTGGTGTGTGCAGTTTTTTATTTCTACTTAAATTAATAAAATATGGTGCTTTTCACACGTGATTGGACACACAAACACATAATTATGATAAAGGGAGAAGTTGGAGCATATCAACATACAAAAGGAGATGGAAAAAATACAGGAAAAAGGCAAGTCTTGCTCAAAAGCCTCAAACACCTTGAGGACCCAAAGCAGGAAATGACACTAAGCTGTGAACTGTGCCAACCACTCAAAGTCTTGCAGTGTTAGGCTCTGTTAACACCAGGCTGACTGGAGAGGGCCTGATGGAGGACGTTAGGATGGCCTTGGTGGCCTGCAGCCTCAACGGCACAGTTCCTAAACCCCCTCAAGCTGTAAGCTTTGTGGCAGACACCAAACATGGAGATGAGACTCCATATAACCACAACATCTCTGTCAAAAGAGAGGACATGTAAGGCCTGGCTCTGGACAACAGGGGGCCCTTAGCAAGATTTTCTTTGGGGGTCCTCCTTACTTTTTGTGTGTGTGTTTGTGAGACAAGACAAATGTTTGGACCACACTGCTAGACCTGACAAATGTCACCCTTAGTGTGACATATGTAAGAGCAAACGTGCATATGGTCAATTACTATTAGTCAGTAGTACGGGTTAGTCCGGTATATAATGAAAAAATCACGCAAGACAAACTGACAACCATAACAATTTAATTACAAAATAAATATCTAAATGAAATAAAAATACGAACACAGTAGAAATGTTACTTTGTACATTTTGATAGAGATTTTCTTTGTGTAGTACATGAAAAAAAAAATACAAAAGGACAGAATTTTACATAATTACTTCAACTGATCCCTTCCAATAGCAGACTAAGAAAGACACCCGTGCTCCCGAGGGAGTCACCAGGGTGGACACAAATGTGTGCTGTTTAACGCCACAAAGCACAAAAAAAATGCTTTTTTATCTGTCAATACTTGCAATCACAGTAAAACAAGACATCAATATGTCATCACCAAATGAGTACTGCTTAAGTGTTTTGGTTACTGTATTATTGATCTGCCCATTCCTCCTGGGCTTGCCACGTCCATTCTGCAGTCTACAGCACACTTCCTGGTGTGATTTGAAATAAACTGATGAAATCTGATTTGATTCAACTCTCCAAAACAATAGAGAAAGATAGATTTCAAAGAACAATTTAGATTTTTGACAATTTAATACATCATAGTCATTTTTTCATACACAATCTTGTGTGGACACGTCTTCAGTTGATAGATTGTTTTCGATCAATATTGCTCTTACGTAATGAATTGACAGTAAACACTTTATAGTCATGCCTGGTCACATGGCGCTACAGAGGGAGAGGATTCATTCAGACTGAGTTACCTCCATAATAATGATAGAGAAGACTCCAATACGCTGATGAAGGGATTGTGACTGACAATACTGTCCTAAATCTAATCTTAATTGATCTATAAAAATATTTGATCATAGAGCAGTTTTAAGCACTAGAGGGAGACATTTCATTGTTACATGTGCAAAGCAGCTGCACACTCAGTCCAACATGTGTTGCTATGACAAGTCAAGGTGTCTTAGATAATGTTTGAACACAAAAAATGACAAACTTATTAAAGATTGCTAGTCCAAATATATTCAGCTTATCAATAAATATATATTTCAAAAAAGTGTAACCATCTTTAAATACCAAAGAAATGACCAAATTACAATAAATGATACAGTAATAACTAGTATAAAAGAGAAGGCGTCGGTCTGTTTGGTTCGACATTGCACTGGCTCCCAGGGATGTCCATTGTGTCAGGTGTAACAGCAGTGTTTCCACCAATCAAAACACACTTCCGGTTGAAGCTTGTCATTATAAACGCTCTGCCCATCAGCAGGAGGGCATGTCAGCAAAACAACCCAGCTGTTTGAGTCTCTGGCTGCAGACACGGAGGAGACTCTGGATGCTGTCACTGGGTGGGAAATAAATAGTGAGCCACACTGCAACTGAGGGTTGGACCACCGCTGCAGTTACCTGCGAGGGTTCTGGCAGCTGAAAAAGACGAGAAAGAAGTATGGGTTTTTTAATGCTTTTAACTGCTAGTTGGAGGGTACATGAATATCTTACACTTGAGATTGCGCCATCACCTGTCACAATCTTTTGTTTTCTGTCTCTCCTTTCTCTTCCTTCCTCTTCCTCTTTGCCTTTTCCTAGAAGGGGAACAAAATTAACAATACGCCTCCATTCTCTCAGATGGAACATTAATATCCTTTCTAACAATCTAAAAACGGATGTTATTGCAATATATTCATGTACTTACCTTTCAACAGTCACAATAGGTTTCCTGACTCTGAGGAACAAAGCAATAAATTAGGTAATAAATAGTCATTGTAAGTATTCCTCAACCCTGTCTCCTAGAAATTACATTTATGCATTCATTTGTTATACAAAATATGTTTTGTGGTAAACGTAATTGCTGGATTGTGTTCCAATCATACAGTCTATGGCTCCAGTCGTTACGTTTATTAGAAATGTTCCTCAGTATGTTTTATTAAAAAAATGTAACTCGGATGTTATTACTTTGCTGACTTAAATTTGAAGGCTATAAATGTAATTTCTAAGTAGACACGGTTGATATTTGAATACAAATTATGACTTGTTTTCTTACCTACATTCACATGTCTGATGCTCCACAAATGTCATCTCAACATATTCTTGACCCGGCTCTGATGGCCTGATTTTCAACAGCTGAGGGATGAAACCAGTTAACGTTGCCGTTAGAAGAAAATTAGGTACATACAGTAAATTTAACAAGAACAATTATATTTCACAGAGCCCTTGTCTTACCTGCATGGTGACGTTTGTGGTGCGAGTGGGATGGCACTCCAGGTTTTCGTCCCCACAGCAACCTGCACACCTCACCAGCGGCACACAGGCGGGGCTGTAGATGTGCTCCACCTCTGACGGGTACTCCTGCACCACCTCCACCAGCTTCTCAATGGTCCGGCAGAAGCTGCGACCCCACACTTCTTGGAACATCAACACTAGGATGAGAGGAGGAGGCTATGGGCTACTTTGCAGTTACAAACGAGTCTGCTTGTTTCTTATGGGAATACTTGCATGCAGGTCAGATAAATGTATTTTGGTTTAAGAGCTGCTTAATGTTCTGTCTCTCTCGCTTACGTTTAAAGTGCAGAGTGCAATCGACATCCAACTTATTTGAGCTTGTGTATGTGACTTAGTACTGCCAGACAAAAAACCTATTTGAATTTGAATTGAACTGCACTGTAAATGATCCTACACAAACAGTCTCAGTAATTACTTCAATAATCCAACAATGGCAACCTTATACCATGTACAGAGAAACATAAAACCAGTTGCAATACGCCAGTGTGTATCCTGTTTTAATTTTGAAGTAAAAATATTTGTGTAATGTACAGTACGCTTTCCTGTGGGAGCATATGTGTGAAAGTGTCCCAGTTGCACAGTCTGTGGGGGAGGAACAAGGAAGACTACGTCCGAACAAACAGAGAAGGAAGAGAAAACAAACATTGGAAACATGGCCATGAACAGAACCCTGCTGGAGCTGGAGCTGAGCCGCCCAGCAGGCACCTCTGGGACTACGGTGACCCCCGGGTCACCAAATGGAGCCTCGCACCATAACAGCTGTTTATAAGAGCAGACAGGCTGGAAGGAGAACGGTGGGGAAGCGTCTACGGTAGAGAGATGAGGCCACAAACTTTATTGTTATACAGCGCAAAGGGCCAGTTCACTGGCCAGTTACAGCTCCTTACTCTATATCTGCTGCTCGTTTGGCCTTTTCTGTTACATGCACTCTAATCCTCTGGCTGCAAGTTCTACAGTCAATCCATTTCTCTTTAAGTAGCATTCATTTATAGGGAGGAAGAGGATATAAAGGGAGAAGTTAAGCAGTTGAGTAATCTCTGCTAGTCCAAAGTTGACCTGTCCTGCAACTCGCAAAATTCATATAACATTCATTAACTAACTTATATGCAAGACTCAAGAGCTTGGTCATTCATAGTTCTCAGCTGTATTTTGTCAGCGCTGGCATTGATTTATTTGGTTTGCACCAGACTACTTTTGTAACTGTCTATTGTGGGTCTGTTTTTTGTCAAAATTCGAGTGTTGTGAGATGGAGAGTTGAAAGTTTATTTTTTTTAAATATCACGGTTGTTATTACCGGGATATTGCGATACTCATAGTTTTATTACAAACACTGTAAAAATATGGTTTGAAAAAAATAGTTAGAACTACTTTTTAGTATTGTTGTAAACTATTGTTTTTAAATTACACCTCCAACGGTCAGAGAAGATTTCATAAGTAAAACAAGCAGGAATTCTTACCTTCAGTTGTATTGCTTATGCGTGACAAGGGAAGACTCTGTGAAACAGAAATAAATGTTGGTTATTTATTCAGCTTTCCTGTGACTACATGCTATAGAGTAAACACCCTACATCTTTTTTAGTTGAGTATTATCTTAATACACACCTTTCAAACTTGAAAATGCAATATATACAAAATATCCTGGATATAAAGACAGCACCAGTCTGCAGTGTCACCAATATCAAGTATATTTGTACTCCGGCGGTGACAGCTGGAACTGCAGTGAAATTAAGCCGACGATCACACACCTTTTTTTCCACCCTGCAGTGGAAAAGTCTTCCTGACAAGCAGCAGATCCAGTCTCTCTTATACAGTATATCACGTCTCTCTGTGTGCCCAACTGTTTAGGTTCAAAACCTGTTTCCTGTGGTGTAAGATTCAGTTCTTTATTTATTTTCCCCCTCCGTCTTGATTTTTTCCCATCATCCCATGATAAACAGAGTGCATTTCCCATTCGCCTGCGAAAACACAAAACCTCTAGTTGACTCCATCTCAGGAAGGGAAATCTACGTTTGATAAAATGCCCTCCAGCGGAAGAGCTGAACCGGCGACAGACAACCTGCCTCTGCAATCCCTCCTCATCACCGGTGTTACATTTCAGTTTTTGTGTAACACACACACACACACACACACACACACACACACACACACACACACACCTGATGATATTTATACTGTAACACTGTCTGTGAAAGTAAGACAGATGGTGAGATTGAAAGTGTTGGACCAAAACTTGTTATATAATAGTGCACAGACAGACAAGGACACTCCCAAATGATGCCAGTAAGGAATGTTGCATTTTACACCATCTGTCCGTTGCTAAAATGCATCTCCTTCCTGTTAAACATCAAAATTAGTTTGAGGGTGAAGATAGCATCTGTCAGCAGCACAGTGCGACACAATTTTTTTTTCTCTAAGTATTGTGGTTAACGAGGTATGTCCTGCTTTGATGATGATGCATTCACACTTACACAAACATTTCCGAGGTTCTTGTAAAACTGTCACTGAGATAAGTGGCAGGGAAGGCTATGTATTTAACAGAATGTACCGTACAGACTTCATATCAATAGAAGGACAAGAGCTTCCAGTAAACCACTTAAGGTTCGGTTCTCCACGAGTTAGGGGATCTGTTCAGGCATCTCCCCTTTTTTAAAAAGTGGCTGGTGATCTGGCCAAAGTGTACAGCTGTTCCTCTGTCAGAGCAGCTGTTCTATTGAGTGGTGTTCATCGAACTGTGTCCGCTATACAACAGCACCACAGGATGTAAACTCTGCTAGCAGCGCCATTCACAGCACGGGGACGTCACAGTTCAGTTAACGTTTTTGTTTAAGGTTGTTTTAAAAACTTCCACTCTCTGGGGTATTGCTTTTTTTTCAGCATGTCTAGCAACGCCCTGCTTGTAAAATAAATCCTTTTCCAGTATTAATTGGCGTATGATCTGTGCTTCTTTTCTGTTGCTGCTCCACATCACAAGGGCTTTTTGATTCTGGCTCCTCAGTTGCCGTTCAGAATGTGGAGCGGTATGAAGAGTTTTCTGACCTTGGTCATGGGTTAAGCCTTGACATGGCGAGCAATCATCTTTGGCACCTCCTGTGGTTGAGAACAGAGGAGAGAGCTGCCCACAAGAAGCTGCCAGATTATGAAAGGCTGCATGAAGATCCTCACGTAGACATTCCTTCCTCCTTGTGCACTTGTAGTAATACTGTGTGATTAATGGTAACTGCGAGGTAATTCAGCTCTGGTGGGACGAAGGGTGAACCACTTAATACATGCGTATAAACTTGTCTTAAGGTTTCTTTCACTTCATTCCCTGAAGACCTTGTTCAGGGAGTTTGACTCTAGCATTGCTGCATGTCATTTTGATTTATTGTTTTAATAAATTGAGTGTTAAGAGCTTTGAGGCTTAACTGTGAAGGTTAAATACAATTGACTTGACTATAAATTATTATAATGATAGAATACCTCTACTTTGTGTCCTGTGCAATCCATGTGCAACATCTGGGTTTTGGGAAACACGAAAACTGCTGTGAAATCAATTTAAAAGCTACATTCCAACAACAACAACAACAAAAGGAAAAGATTTTTACCATATGCCGAAGGAAGAAATATATGAGCAAGCTTGATTTCCTGCACAATCTAATGTTAATTACTGTTGATGGTAGATTAAACATCAAGACAAGTGCATAGTGCAAAAAATAAACTGCCCCAAAAGCAGCTGTTGATAAATTGTAGTTAGAGGTTGATTTTATTACAAATTATTTAGCAATATAAAATGTTGATATAAAATAATCGATGTAACATTTACAGTGAAAAAGAGAGGAGAGAGAGGTAGAGAGGGGTGAGTGATATCGTGCTGGGGTTAAAAAGTGTGCAAACAATTAGCCTACTTTCTCACTGGATAATTAACATGGTTCCCACCCTGCTCACTGTCCCATAGTTGTACAAGTTGTTTTCAGGTCTTGACATCTGCTTCTCAGAGAACTTTTGCTTAGCAGCATAGTTTATCTGGAGCCTCTGAGCAGATTGTGTTGCAGAGTAGCAGTGAGTTTGATCAAAAGATTTAAACATCTACAGCAGTTAATAATGCAAATGTGGCATTGAGGGGTCTCATATGTTTCTGAAGTCTCTAGTGAAAGTTTGTAAGCTGCTGGCTGAGAGTTTTCTCCGTCCTCTGGGTCAGATCAGAGGACCTGTTGTGTCCCTGGGCTCCTGCTGTCAGGCCACAGAGGCTCCGGGCCTCATTACGCTCCACTCCCACACAGCTGAACTATGTCATCTTTAACCTCTTTGCTTAACTCCATCTGTCAGAGGAAGGGCAGCATGTGTAGGGAGCAAAAACAAAACATGATGGGGACCCAGTGTAATGGTCATAAAAGATTTTTCAACTTTGAGGGTCAGGCTGGGGAGGGGGGGGTGATGGGCTATTCCACAGCAGGTACTATGGCCACTAGCCAGAAAGATCTGGATACCAGCCAGCATATTGTACAGTGTGTTTTCTAAAGGGATACGGAGACGACTTCCAGATGAATGCCGATAGGCTTCTGTCAGTTTAGCCTATATAGATTGGACAACTTCTCCTGGGTGACTGGACTGGAAAATTACACAAAACTGTGTCAAGTCATTTAAGTTTCTCTTCTCCCTTGGATTGCAAATCATTGACAGAAAGGATGAACCATGGTTTGTTTCAAAGTAGTTTCAAAGGGAAGGTATTCTAACAAGCCAAGTAATACTGATGACACTCTTTTATTCACTTTGAATGGGAAATGCAAAATAGTGCGTAGTAATACACGTACTAGTGCGAAGTGTTTTTCATTAATATATTGTTCATATAGTATATCCATCGTCAAAGTTGTCATGAAAGATGCTAATTTAGGTTTGAGGGTGACTGGCTTGTTCGGTCAAAGCTCTTTTGACACGATGCCAAAATGTTTGGAGTTTTCTTTTTATAACTGAGTGAAAATGAGTCTTTGAGAAAGTTGGCACATTTTGGCAGAAGATGAAGAGAAGCAGCTTTCACAAAAACGTATCCATATTTGGTGTAGTTTGAAGAGTAGAGGGATTTCAGTATTAAATCCAACAAATTAAACCACTGACATGTGATTGTCACCTGTTAGCACACAAATTCTATCAGTAATAAAAGGTGTAAACTGATGCTACTAGCTGTAGTATCAGTGAGTAGTGATGTATTTGTAGTCCTCTGACAAATCTCCTTCGACAAACATCTTGCACACTGATCACTTTCAGGCTGAGTCAACTGCCTGAGGATTGAAACTACATGTGATTTGGAGACATTTTCTGGTTTAAGATTACGATAATCCAGAGTGCTATGTACTTGGTTTGATTGAGTTTTTGGAAAACCCCTCTTTAATCCTTATCTAGCAAACAATGATCCCAGCTAGATTGAGCATCATGCCATTATTTACATTGCTTTCCAAAAGGGTTTACTTTCAAACTGAAGGGTGACAGTGTGGATAAACAGACCACAGATGAGATGCAGGCTTCTGTCAACTAAATCTGCTCTTGAGCAGAGTTTGGGAATTTCGGG